AAAATTTCCATTGCTTCCTATTATCATTATTTGATAAAGTTTCAAAGTGGAAAACATGCGGAAGAATATAGGGTAAATGAATTACAAGTCTAAAAAAAATTAGCTTTTAGATAGTCACTGTTGTTATGTCTTAAGTAATATTTTCATTTTTATGGATTTGTGTGGTATTTGCATTAGAGTCTTTTTTTTTTTTTTTTTTTAAGATTTTCTTTATTTATTTGGGAGAGCACGAGCAGGGGGAGAGGCAGAGGGAGAGAGAGAGAAGCAGACTCCCTGCTAAGGTGGGAGCCCAACTTGGGACTCTCTCCCAGGACCTGGAGATCATGACCTGAGCGGAAGGCAGACGCCCAACCATCTGGGCCACCCAGGCGCCCCTAGAGTCTTGTTCTTGATCTAGGCTTAGCATTTACTCTGAGTTATTTATGTTTCTGTTTTTATCAACACCTTAAGCTTTAGGAAACCAACTTTGAGCCACTTCTTTTTTTGATTGGAGATATAGTGCAACACAGGGAAAAGAATACAAATTTAATAGATGTAAACAGTAATATTCCAGTGACATAAAAATACTTCAGTTAAGATGATTTGTAAAGAATAACACAGGCCTTAGGGCACCTGCCTAGCTTTTAAGAATATAATAGTTATTACGATGAAGATGGTGAGATTTCTGTGGAAATCAGAATTAATCTTATATTTCATAATTTTGAAATATATGTAAACTACATAGATTCCTTTTTCCCTCTAACTATTCCAGACCACTGATGAACAAGTGATTTATAAATCATAATCTGATAAATAATGGCTAATAATGGAATATTATGTTTGTTTCCTTGTTTAAATTTTATCTAAGTCCTAATATTATAGAGCCATTGAGCAGTATTTTCCTTAAGACTTTCATTATTTTTGAATATCTCTCAATCTATGTTGTATTATTAGTTCGCCTACTGTCCTGGATCATTCCTATCAGGAACAGACAAGCTCTAGACCTAGAGCTTTTTTTTTTTTTTTTTTTTTTTAAGATTTTATTTATTTATTTAACTGACAGAGAGAGAGAGAGACAGCTAGAGAAAGAACACAAGCAGGGGGAGTGCGAGAGGGAGAAGCAGGCTTCCCGCCAAGCAGGGAGCCCGATGCGGGGCTCGATCCCAGGACCCTGGGATCATGACCTGGGCCGAAGGCAGACGCCTAACCAACTGAGCCACCCAGGTGCCCCTAGACCTAGAGCTTTTGTTAACCATGTCACAACGACAAAAAATATTAATCCCCATATTCTTTTCCAACTATTACCCCATTTCATTCTTGCCATTTACAGCAGAGTTTTCACTAATCACTGTCTTCATTTCTTTCCCTTCCTAAATTCTTAATTTTTAAGTAAAGCTTCATAAATACTTGTAAAGTATGCATAAAGTTTAAATGAAAGATAACAAACACCAGCTACTCTCCATTACCATTAATTTTGAACATACCCTAAGTTTGAAGTTCCCTATATGCCACTCCCAGATCCAGTTTCCTGCTCTTCTCCCTTAGAAACAATTACTGTCCTGAATTTCGTATAGTTTCCCATATGTTTATATTCCTAAAAAGTATATTTCAGTATATTTCACATGTATGAAATTATACTGTTTTATGTATTCTTCTGTGAGTTTTCTTATTCAATCTTCTTATGTTCCTGGAATTTATTTATATAGTGTGTAACTGTACTTCATTTATTTTCACCTTTGTATTCCATGGTATGAGTATACCCAAATTTCTCCATTTTGTTATGGATAGACATTTGGGTTATATCTAGTTTGCTTGCTACCCCAAACAGTGCAGCTATGTGCAGTTAGGTTAAACTGTATAGCAGAGTCCAAGTTTTGGAAAGATTTTTCTCCTAATCTGTTGTGGATTAATGATTTTATAAAATACACTAAAAATGTTTCAGCAATGTTCAATTGCTATAAAAATTTCTAAACATGTACCCTTAATTTCTTTCTTTATCTTACTGTAGAGCACACTTGGAATAACAATGCTTTAATATATACCTAGCTGCAGAATTCCTGGATCATACATTTTCTGCTACTTAGGCAAAAATTTTGTTCTCTCAAAATCACTAATCGCTAGTTGTTCAGATTAAACAGAAGACGACCTACTAGCAGTTTGTGACTTTCACTGTATCTTTTTTCAGTTCCTAACATGCAGGGGATTTCAGACAAAGGCCCCCAAGAGCAGTTAGAATAGGATGAACATTACCTCTGTGTTAAGGCCGCAGCTTCTGAGTGGGCATCCTCAACACTGTCTCTCTCAGAATATAAGCTAATGTTGCTTCTATAAGCAAGAAGTCAGACTACTTTATATCAGTATTTCTCAAACTTATTTTCATTATCATTCCCTTAAGGAGCTGTTTTAGACATTTTTTTCCCTCTAATCATTCCTCCCCTTCTATGAAATTTACTACTGTAGATCAACAGTCTCTCTCTTTATGTACTGTGGCATTTGGAGGGCTACAACCATTTTACTATTTTTAATATTTTTTTTTTTTGTCTCCTAAGAACCAATTTTCACCTGCTTGGGAGTGGTAGGACTACCTTCAGAATGCATGATATGAGCACAGATATGGTTCTGGCATTAGAGTACGAGCATTTAAAATGATAGTATTTAATTATCAGATAGATGATGAAGTGGGGAGCAAGGAAGACTCAATGCTAATGAACTGTCCTGCTGAAAATGTGCTTGATTTAGGAAAAGATCAGCTTCTACTTAGACTCATGAATTGGGAAAGTGAGGAATAGGCATTTGTCAGTGTTTGATGGCATACTTTGTAGAAGAAATGTGGAAGTATGGATTGGAGGACAGTACAGTTAGGCAAGTTTGTAGATTTAGAATGCAAATTAGTGAATTGATGCCTATCTCCTAAGTAATTTTTGGTGACCCATCATGTGGCTCTGACTTCACGCCTATATATTCTCTGCTTTTATTGGTCACTTAAGAAAACCTCAGATTTACAAATGATGAGAGGAATGGTGAATTAGGCTAGTTGACATCCTCAATCTCAAAAGAAAACTTAGGCAGGCTAAGTTAAGGACGGAAGTAAAGTATTGCAGTTGGGTCTAAAATACCAATTGTAGGGGCACCTGGGTGGCTCAGTCAGTGGAGCATAGCAATACCAAATATAAAAGAAACTTAGGGATTTAAGTCATGTTACTCTTTAAAAAAAAAAAATATTTATTTTAGAGAGGGAGAGAGAATGGGGCGGACAGTGGTAGAGGGAGAGGGACAAGCAGACTCCCAGTTGAGCTCAGAGCCCCACGCAGGGCTCAATCCCAGAATCCTGAGATCATGACCTGAGCTGAAATCAAGACTTGGCTGTTTAACCAACTGAGCCACCCAGGCGCCCCAAGTTACGTTACTCTTAATATGAGTGTTCTGAAAAAGTAATTAACATCTTAATCTGCATTAATTAATGTCTCTAGAATCTAGAATGTATGCTGGTCAAATCACAACCTTAAATAATTATGTCAGGATTACACTTAGGGCCATATAAAATACTGCATATATTTAATGAGTCTGCTAATATTCATGAAGTACTTTGCATGTAGTTAGTTATACTATAGCCATTCTGTGGGTACTGGTCCATGAGTTTTAGACTTAGTTATAGTATGTCTGGATGTTTTTTGGGAAGAAATAGGTTTCTTTTCACTGGCAAGAGATGACTTTCTGCAAGGATGTTGACAAGGAGATAGTGATAATGACAACTGACAATTTTTTGAGTGATTCAGGGTGGGTATATCATCTAAAAGAGGGGTCAGCAAACTATATAGCCCACTGACCAAATCCAGCCTGCAAGCCTGTTTTTTAAGGCTCTCCAGCTAAGAATGTTTTTGCATTTTAAAGCGTTGTAAAACAAAAAGATTATGTCGCAGTGACCTTAGATGGCTTGTAAAGCCTAAAATATTTACTATCTGTCCCTCTACAGAAAAGATATGCCAACTCCTGATAAAATATTGGACCAATGATAGAGTGGATAACACTTTAAGATCTTTTGCAGACAGAAGACAGAAAACCAAGAATAAAAAACAACACAAATAGTTCGCTATTCGGGTGAGGCTGGGTGGTTCAGTCCATAGACTCCTGATCTTGGGGTTGTGAGTTGAGCCCCCCGTTGGGGGTAGAATTTACTTGAAAAAAAAATTGTTCAGTATATAGAAATCAGGTGATTATTTTACAAATTAACTAGGTTTAAATTAGAGACTAGGGTTCAAAGCTATGTAGAAAATTGCAATTATAATCAATTTATTTTGGCAAAAGGAGACCTGTTTATTAAGTAAACTTAAGAGAAATTTAGGATTAATTATGGATAGCAGTTACAGATTGCTAAATTAAAGCTAATGTTTTCTTCTTGAGCATAATGACTCTTGGAAAAAGTGGCCAGAAAGCTTGCTGGGGAGAAAAAGGACAGGAAAATACTAGTCTGGGACTAAGAAGTTATCATTGATAGCCTATAAAGGAGACAAACAGGGAAACCATCACTAATTATCTGCATATCAAAAGGGTTGAGTGTTGCTTTTTATTTATAATTAATCTAACCCCAGAGACAAGCTTTTTACTGCTTTGAGAGAACTGCCTTATTAGTAAGGAAATAGCACCACCCATTGGTTTAGAATGATGAGTGATGATCCTCATCGTGGGGGGAGGGAGAGTGTCTGATGATTTGTGATTGTTCTTGTATTTTTAGTAACTGGGTGTTATTTTGATTTGTATTTTCCTTTTTGTGGTAATGGATATTCTGAAGGGTAATATATCTTATTATAGTGACTTTATTCTGACAATTTTCTTGATTTCCCAATCACAGAGTGTATAATTTATGGAATATTCTCTCTATAGATAATTTTATTCTCACATCCGCAATTGTTCTCCCAAACTGTAAGCTATCTTAGGTATCTGTAATTGAAGATGTTCCATTTTGTCTTTACGTATATTTGTTTATTTCTGGTTTATAACTAAATGTATTTTTTTTTTTCCAGATGATTCTTTGGGATTGGGACTTAAAGCAATGGTATAAACCTCATTATCAGGTAAATATAGTAAATATCACTAATAATGTCGGTAATGAAACTTTTTAAAATTGAAGTACAGTTGACACATAATGTTAGTCTCAGGTATACTGTAATAAAACTTTTGACATTTTGTTATTTTTTATTTTTACTTATTTTTTTATATATTTTTTTAAGGATATTTATTTGAGAGAAAGAGGACATGATGGGGGGTGGAAGGGCAGAGGGAGAGGGAGAGGGAGAAGCAGACCCCCTGCTGAGCAGGGAGCTGATGCGGGGGGGCCCAATCCCAGGAGCCTGGGATCATGACCTGAGCTGAAGGCAGACGCTTAACGAATGAACCATCCAGGCACCCCCCTCAAAAGGAATTTTTATATGTTAAAGTAGACTTAGAGGATCCTGGTGGGGGCGGGGGAAGGGGGTCAGCTAGGATTGCCTTTTGCCCTTAGTAAAGTATTAGTCAGTTGAGTCTCTGGAGGAATGTCACTTGGCCTGTTTCAAGGACTTGTCAGTGGGCTGTAGGTAGTAAGGAAATTTAATATTTTTTCCTCTGCCTTTGTTTTCCACATCACTGACTTCCAGCAATTAATTTGGCTTATTGATGAACTTTATATATATAAATGGAATCATATAATATATACTTTTAAGCTTTTTTGATCACTTAAGTAATATATATTTATGTCAGAAGAACTGAAAATAGAAGTATAAGAGAAAAAAGAAAAATCACTCCTAAATATCAAGCAATAACTATGTTAATTATGTTAACTTTTGATGTATATCTTCACAGATCTTTTCCCATTTTCCCATTGTATTGAAATGTGTGTTTGTGTATTCTAGTCTAAAAAATATATATTATAATAATTATAAATTATATATAGGTATATAACATAAATATTAACAAAATAGATACAATATATAAATATAATTATTTGTAATATAAAATATATTTATTATAATTAGGTTATAATATGCTGGTTTGAAACCTGATGGTTTTCACTAATAGATAAACATTAATAAATATCAAATCTCTGTCCTTTATATGTACAGAAACATTACACCTGTTTATTAGATTTATGTAGTTAGTTGTCTCTATCCCAATTTTTGAAAAATGAATGTTCCTTTCAATGAGTTTTGTTTTTAAGGTGTGAATGGAAGAGCCACAACAGCCCATAAGAACAAAATATTCTCTGGGTTTCGGTGAATAAAAAACATAACCATTGCAGTCAGATAAAATCAAGAAGCCCACTTCTGACCCAAAAAAGTCTGGTTTTTTGACCTGCACAAGGACTTTCTCATCAGTCATACTCATCAAGATCCTCAGTTTCCAATTAAAAGAGTATTTAAATTATTAGTAAAATCTAAAGATAAATAAGCAGTAATGGTTAAGAGCACAGACTGGTTGGTAGTCAGACTGATCTGTGATATCAGGCACCTACCTCCCTTTTTAGCTCACCTAACCTCCCTCTTTTCATTCACCTCTTTTTCTTTCTTTCTTTCTTTTTTTTTTTTTTTAGATTTATTTATTTGAGCGAGAGACAGTGAGAAGGTGCATGCATGTGGGCACAGGGGCGGGGGCTGGGGGTGCAGAGGGAGATGGAGAGAGAAACTCAAGCAGACTCATCACTGAGCATAGAGCCTGCCACGGGGCTCGATATTTAAAAAATATGTATATATATAATATGTATATGTACCACTGGATTTTATTTTTTGTTTTGGAATTTTGAATCCATGTTTATGAGAAAATTGGCCTATAATTCTTGTTTTTCATAATGGTCTTGGCATGTTTTTGGTATAAAGCTTATAGTGGCCTCATAAAATAAAGGGGGATATTCACTCTCTTTCTACTATCTAGAAACATTTGGTAAGATTGGTATTCTTTCTTTAATGTTTGAAAGAATGCTGTGGTGAAGCCATCTCAGTTTGGAGCTTTTATTTATTTATTTGAAGATTTTATTTAAAGATCTTTAAAGATTTTAAAGATTTTATTTATTTATTTGACAGAGACACAGCGAGAGAGGGAACACAAGCAGGGGGAGTGAGAGAGGGAGAAGCAGGCTTCCCGCGGAGCAGGGAGCCCGATGTGGGGCTCGATCCCAGGACCCTGGGATCATGACCTGAGCCGACGTCAAATGCTTAAGGACTGAGCCACCCAGGCGCCCCAGTTTGGAGCTTTTTTTATGAACAAATGTTAAATTATGGATTCAGTTTCTTCAATAGTTTTAGGCCTGTTCCGGTTTTCTTATAACAGTTTGGTTAGTAGTGCTTTCTAGGAACTCCTTTTTTTTGTTGTTGTTCTCTCCAGCTGAGACTGCTGAAGCTCTATTTTACTTTCAAAATAGAAATCTGTTTGACAATTTTTGCTAGCTTTCTCCATCTCAGCCACTGTTTGCAGATTGGCAAATGCCTTTAGGGGCAAGCAGCTCTTGAAGTCAAGCTTGCGGCTTTTTCTTTTCTCTGAGATCTTGCTTAGCCTTTAAAGCCCCGCCTGTCTTGATAACCCTGACGTTTTGGTCTTCCAGCCTCCTGTAACTACAGAAAGCTCCGCTGTTTCCTAGGCTCTTAACTGCTCTGTGTCATATCCTCTCTGCCCCGGCCAGTTATGAGTCCGCAGCAGAGTACTTGAGGAGAAAAGTATCACAGTATGGTGGATTCCTTTTAATTTATTAACTCTGAGTTCTTGTTCTTTCAAGGCCCAGCTGCTTGACTGTTCTCTGATGCCTTGAAATGGGTGCTATTTTTATTTTATTTCAGCTTTTCTAGACTAGTTATTCTAGGCAGAAGAGTTGATTTGATAACAACCTCCTTGCTGAAAACTAAGGCAAACCTCTTAAGTCACTCTGAACCTATTTCGTCATCTATACATTGGGAATAATACCACTTTCCTCAGAGGGCTGATTACAATAACAACAACAACAATAAGTGCCTGGTGGGAGTGTAGCACTCAATAAAAATGTGAGCTAATATTATATTAATATATAATAAGTGAATTCTAAGTATCTCTGAAATTATAGTGTAAGACAGGATTTAGCACAGTTTTTTCTATAAAGGGCCAGATAATAAATATTTTAGCATTTGCAGGTGATACACAGCCACCTCCCTCCTTCTCCTCTTCAGTCATCCTTTAAAATGCGGAATCTATTCTTAGCTCTCTGGGCAAAAACAAGGTTTGCCATATATAAGCCAATGGGAAATAGAAATTTAAGTTCAGATTTAAAAATTTGTCACTCTTGCTTACTACACTCCCCTCACCCAGAATAAAAGTTGAAGTCCTTATCATGGACCTAAGTGACCTTACACAATATGGTCCCTCACTTTATTCCCATTTACTTCTCTGACCTCGTGTTGTACTAATTTCTCCTTCATTTACTCTGCTCCAGTTACTTGGGCCTCCTTGTTATTCCTCAAACAAGCTGGGCAGGCTGGGCCTCTGGGTCTTCACACTTGCTGGTCTCCCTGCTGGAATGCTCTTTTCCCATATCTCTGTCAGTTCTTAACATAAAAATTGTTTTTTCACCTTCTCTAACATTTCAGTGCCCTCCGTTACTTCCCTTTCTCTTTCCTCGCGTTACTCTTCCTCTTTAACCTGCTCAAAATCTGTGATTCTCCCTTGCTCATATCCGTTAGCCTGGAATCTTATGTTCTCAAAAATTTGGTCCCAACATGCCTCTCCAACCTTATTTTCCAGTGCGCTTTAAAAAAAAAAAAAAAATGAAGCCTGTACTTCAATAATTTTATGTTCCCTGTACTTTGCTATTTTACTGCTTTTGTACCTTTATGTGCATTCTTTCTTGATGAGCTCCCCCAAATACATTTTTAGTTTTATTGTAAAAGAATTATTTCTCCCTAATCTTTATAAATAAAATCCTGCCAAATTAATATCTCAGCTCAAATGCTATCCCTTCCATAAAATTTGTTAACCATTCAGATTAAAGTTTATGTATCTTCTTTGAACTCTGATGCCACTTTATCTGTATTTTTATTTCATCACTTTCCATAATATTAGTAATTGTACTACTTATTGTACTTTACCTCTATGTACTATACATTGCACTATGTGCTCTGCATGTATCATCAGCTTTAATTCTCCTGCTCCTCTCCACTAAGTTTAACTATTAACTCTGGAAGTAACAAGAGGCAACCAAAGGAGAATTCTGAAAAATGGAAAGAGGAGGGTGGACTGGTTAGGGACCCCGGTAATGGAGAAAAACTATAGTGATGAGGTTTCTTATAACTCATGCCTAACAGCAAAGGTGATTCAGGTGGGCTCATTCCTTCCCCAAGATTAAATGAGAGTCCTGCCAATAACACCAAGTGAGTCTAGTTGCTCTAGCAAGGGAAAACTGATCAGGAACTCCACTGACAAGAGGTCAAGGGAGGGATTCTCATTCCCTACTAAGCAGGAGACTCCCCTTACCCAGTGAGAGACTGGATGGCCAGGGGGCCTGGCAGAGGGGATATGGCCACATGTGTCTAGTCCAGAAGGTGCTCTTTGTCCCTGTGGTCTGGAGACTCTCTTGCCCCACCAGGTGGTACCAGGTGGCTCAATGTGTTGAAATTCCTCCCTCTTCCTCCCGTCTCCTCACCCACAGAGGTACCGGCAAGGAACAGTGGGAACCCTAGTGGCACCAGAAAACAATCAAGCAGACTAAAATACCACTGTGAATGCCCTGAAGACTAAATTGGCATTAGAACCACAGCCTGAAAAAGTAGACCAGGACCTGTTGCTAAATCTAAACAAAGAGACCACCTCCTAATACAAAAGATTTAAATAGGACCCAGAGTCTTCTAGGATAATAGCCAAAATGTTGATGATAAAATAAAAAATCACTTTTCATACCAAGAACCAGGAAAATCACAACTTGAATGAGAAAAAACAATCAATGCTTAACACCAAGATGAATCAAATTTGGAATTACCTGACAAGAAATTTTTTCTTAAGATTTTATTTCTTTTTTTTAGAGAGCGAGAGAGAGAGCAGGAATGGGGGAGGAGCAGAGGGAGAGGGAGAAGCAGGCACCCCACTGAGCAGGGAGCCTCTTGTGGGGCTCTGAGATCATGACCTGAGCCGAAATCAAGAGTCGGGGTGCTTAACCAACTGAGCCATCCAGGTGCCCCCAACAAGAAATTTTAAAGCAGTATTCTAACAAGCAATTACAAATAAAATAGAAAATCTCAACAATAACAAAAATACAGGCATACCCCTTTTATTGCACCTCACAGATACTGTGGTAGGTTTTGTTTTGGTTTTTTTTGTTTTGTTTTACAAATTGAAGGTTTGTAGCAATCCTGCATCAAGCAAGTCTATTTTTACTCTTTTAGCAACAGCATTTGCTCACTTCATGTTTCTCTAACATGTTTTGGTAATTGTTAAAATATTTCAAACTTTTTCATTATTATACTTGTTATGGTGATCTATGGTCAGTGATCTTTGATGTTACTGTTGTAGTTGTTCTGGGGTACCATGAATCATGCTCATATAAGATGGTGAACTTAATAAATATCGTGTGTGTTCTGACTGCTCCACTGACCGGCAGTTCCCCCACCTCTCGCCCTTCTCCTTGGCCTCCTTATTTCCCGAGATGCACCAGTATTGAACTTCAGTCAGTTAATAACCCTACAAGGCCCTCTTAGTGTTTAGGAGATAGTCACATGTCTCTCACTTTAAATGAAAAGCTAGAAATGAGTAAGCTTCCAGAGGAAGGCCTGTCGAAAGCTGAGATAGGTCAAAAGCTAGGCCTCTTGCATCAGACATCCAAGTTGTGAATGCAAAGGAAAAGTTCTTGAAGGAAATGTAAAAGTGCTACTCCAGGGAAAACATGAATGATAAGAGAGTGAGACAGCTTTATTGCTGATAGGGAGAAAGTTTTAGTGGTCTGGATAGACGATCAAACCAGCCACAACATTCCCTTCAGCCAAAGCCTAATCCAGAACATGGTCCTAACTCTCTTCAATTCTGTGAAGGCTGAGAGAGGTGAAGAAGCTGCAGAAGAAAAGTCTGAAAGTAGCAGAGGTCGGTTTGTGAGGTTTAAGGAAGGAAGCCATCCCCATAACATCAAAGTGCAAGTGAGTGCTGATGTAGAAGCTGCAGCAAGTTATCCAGAAGATCTAAGCTAAGATAATTAATGAAGATGGTTACACTAAACCACAGATTTTCAGTGTAGGTGAAACAGCCTTCTATTGGAAGAAGGTGGCACCCAGGACTTCCACAGCCAGAGAGAATTCAGTGCCTGGCTTCAAAGCTTCAAAGGATAGACTGATTCTCTCACTGGGGCTAATGCAGCTGGTGACTTGACATTGAAACCAGTGCTCATTTACTGTTCTGAAAATCCTAGTGTCCTTAAGAATTATGTTAAACATACTCTGTGCCCTGTAAATGGAACAACAAAGCACATCTGTTTGCAACGGTTTACTGAACCTTTTAAGCCCACTTTCGAGACCACCTCAGGGAAAAAAAGATTCAAATATGATGCTTATTGACAATGCACCTGATCACCCAAGAGCTCTGATGGAGATGTACAACAAGATTAATATTTTCATGCCTGTTAACACAACGTCCATTCTGTAGCCCATGGAGCAAGGAGTAATTTTGACTTTCAAGTCTCATGATTTAATAAGTACATTTTGTAAGGCTATACCTGCTTTAGATAGTGATTCCTCTGTCGGATCTGGGCAAAGAAAATGGAAAACCTTCTGAAAAGGATTCACAATTGAAGAGGTCAAAATACCAGCATTAATAGGAATTTGGAAGAAGTTGATTCCAACCTTCGTGGATGACTTTGAGGCGTTCAAGACTTAAGTGAAGAAAGTAACTACACGTGTGGTAGAAATAGCAAGAGAAATACAATTAGAAGCGGAGCCTGATGATGACTGAATTGTTGCAGTCTTATGATAAAACTTGAACATATGAGGAGTTGCTTCTTATGAACGAGCAAAGAAAAGTGGTTTTATGAGATAGAATTTACTCCTAGTGAAGATGCTGTGAAGATTATTGAAATGACAACAAAGGATTTAGAGTATGACATAAACTTGAAAAAGCAACAGGAGGTTTTGAGAGGATTGACTCCCAAGTTTGAAAGAAGTTCTACTGTGGGTAAAATGCTATCAAACAGCATCACGTGCAACAGAGAAACTGTTTGTGAAAGGAAGAGACAACTGAATGCAGCTAACTTCATTTATTTAAGAAATTGCCACAGCCACCCAACCTTTAGTAACCACCACCTTGATTTTTTTTTTTAAAGATTTTATTTATTTATTTGAGAGAGAGAAAGAATGAGAGATAGAAAGCACGAGAGGGAAGAGGGTCAGAGGGAGAAGCAGACTCCCTGCTGAGCAGGAAGCCCGATGTGGGACTCGATCCCGAGACTCCAGGATCATGACCTGAGCCGAAGGCAGTCGCTTAACCAACTGAGCCACCCAGGCACCCACCACCACCTTGATTTGATCAGTCTGCAGCCACCAATATCAAATTCAAGACCCTCCACTAGCAAAAAGATGACAACTTGCTGAAAACTCAGATGATGGTTAGCATTTTTTAGCAATAAAGTTTTTTTTTTTTTTAGAGGTGGGGAGAGGGGCAGAGGGAGAGAGAGAGAATCCTAAGTAGGCTCCACACACAGTGTGGAGCTTGACAAAGGGCTTGATCTCACAACCCTGAGATCGTGACCTGAGCCGAAATCAAGAGTCAGATGCTTAACCAACTGAGCCACCCAGGTGGCTAAATAAAGTATTTTTAAATTAAGGTATGTACATTGTTTTTTTTAGACGTAATGTCATTGCACACGTAGTAGACTACAGTATATTGTAAACATAACTTTTACATGCACTAGGAAACCAGAAAATTTATTTGACTCACTTTATTGCACTATTTGCTCTATTGCAGTGGTCTGGAACCAAACCTGCAACATCTCTGAGGTAGATCTGTAGAAGTTCTAAAAAAGAAAGAAATGAAAACTATGGAACTGAAAAATGCAATAATGGAAATAAAAAATTTCCTGAATGGGCTTAGGAGAGTGGAGATGACAGAGGATAGAATTTATGAGCTTGAGGATAGAGCAACAGAATTTACCTGATTTGAACAACAGAGAGGAAATAGATGGAAACAAGATGAAGAGCTTTAGGGACGTGTGGGACAATAACAAAAGATCCAAAATTTGTATCCGTGTCTGAGAAGGAGAGAGAGTGAGTTTAAAAGATTATTTGAAAAAATAATGGCTGAAAACTTCCCCAAATTTTGCAAAAAAAGTAATCCTACAAATTCGAGAAGATAGTGAATCCCAAATATGAAAAGCCCCCAACAAATCTGCAAGCCATGTCATAAACATTTGAAAACTAAAGACCAAAGAAAATAACTTGGAAGCAACTAGAGAGAAATGACACATGATCTGTATGGGAACACCAACTCAAATATCAACAGATTTCTCATTTGGATGTGGGGAAACAGATGCTATTATAATACAGTTTGTGGAAGTATAGATTTAACCAACATACAGGTGGGCAGTTTTATAGTAATGATCAAATTGTAACATGTTCATTTACTGTGGTTCAGCAATTCAATTTTATGGGAAGCTATTTGTCAGAAGTATGCTTAATTATCTATAGTGACATATATAAGGAAGTGACATATATAAAGATTAGAAATAGCTGGGTTATCCCCTAGTAATAGGGAATGTTTTCAAATAAAAGCTAAGACAAAATAATACTTCACAAGAAAAAAAAAAATTCCCCAAAGAGCAAAGACATTATTTAGCTAATTATTGTTCTAACAGTAAGTTCTTACTGTTCATAACATTTCTTAGTTCTGAAATGTGTTGAGGATACTTAATAAACAGTTTTATGGTGAACTCATTAAATACATTTGATAATTATGAATTTTAGATACACTCAAATGTAAGTTTAAGGTAAAATAAAAGCAACAAAAAGGACATTTAATTCACTGTTGATTATCCGTGCACTCATTTCTATGGGTAATTGAGTTGAACATCATATGTATGTATTTTCAAGAAGTAAAAATCATACCTAATGTAGACATCAATGAAATATTTATTCTAAATTTAAAAAATATCTTTCCTATCCACTCTTTAAGGCCAAGTGTGATGTAACCCATCCATGAAGTTGTTGGTGACCATTCAGTTCATAGTTAATCACTATCTCCTTCAAACTCTGATACCTTTTTTTCTGTATTTTTATCTTCTTATTTTCCATAGTATTGATGGTTATACTGTGATTTATTGCACTTTAAATATATTCCCTTATGTGTTTTACATGTATTCTCAGACTAAAGTGTCATGTCAGCCCTTAATGTGAGGGAGTTGTTATAATCTCCATTTTATGGTAAAGAAACAAAAAGGTTCAGATGTTAAATAAAAAAATCATACAATTAGGATTAAAGTGTAGATTTCAAATTCTGATGTCTTTGCAACAGAGCCTCGTCACTACGCTCAACTTCCTCTTAAGTGCGTAAGGTTAACTGAAAGGACCACTGTGGATGTACATTGTATATGTATATCGATTTAATAGAGTGTTTCTTAAATGTTAGTGTTTTCGTAACAAATCTATAATATTATTTTTTCTTTTCTTTTCTAGAATTCTGGAGGTGGAAGTGGAGTGGATCTTTCAGTGCTAAATGAGGCTCGCAATATGGTGTCAGACCTGCTGATCGATCCAACCCTTCCCCCACAAGTCATTTCCTCCCTGCGGAGTATCAGTAGTTTGATGGGTGCTTTCTCAGGTTCCTGTAGGCCAAAGCTTAATCCTCTCACGCCATTTCCTGGATTTTACCCCTGCTCAGAAATAGAGGACCCAGCTGAGAAAGGAGATCGAAAACTTCACAAGGTCAAGATACCGTAATCAGCCAGCCCTGCTTACCACGTTTAATATTTTCAAATTACAACTGCTCCTTTATAGCTTAGATAAAATACAATTTCTTTTTCCAAGGATCAGCTTTTTTTATACAGTATATTGAGCTGTTAGGGACTTTGGAGGTGGTTGTAAGTCTCAAATAATTCTAAATGAGTATTCAGCTTTTATTCTAAATAACTTTCCTATAATCAGCAGTTATAACTTCATTGGTTGTAACTATTTATCATCATTGTCACTGTTTTTAAGTAGAAAATACCACACAAATTTAATTGCAGGCTTGTGTAACAAACCAGTGGTCCTATCATGTCATTAATCTATTGTATGATTTAGAATCCAGGAATTGTTCTTATTGAACCACAAAGAATTGATTGTTACAGTATTCATTTTATGAGTTACATAGCATTATTTTAAATTAATTTTCACATTTTTTTGGTCTCTGTTTTCCCCCGTTCACTCATTGGAGATTGCTGTAGCCCAATAGACACTGATTTTTCCATCATTAAATATGGGATTAATTTTTTTTAAATATCAGTGCTTCAAAATAGGATTTTCTTTAAGAAATAATGAATACTTGGGGCGCCTGGGTGGCTCAGTGGGTTAAGCGGCTGCCTTCGGCTCAGGTCATGATCCCATGACCGAGCCCCGCGTCAGGGTCCCTGCTCAGCGGGAACCTGCTTCTCCCTCTCCCTCTGCCTGCCTCTCTGCCTACTTGTGCTCTCTCTCTCTCTCTCTTTCTCTGTCAAATAAATAAATAAAATCTTTAAAAAAAATAATACTATTTAAATAGGTCTACTTTAATGCTTGTTCAGAGGGCAATTAAAATTGCTTTATTTGACTAATCAATATCTTTATCAATAGCTAAAATCATAAACTTTAGAAATAAAAACATTTTAGAGATTATTCTAGATTAATTTAATCTACAGGTAAAGAAACTAATCAAGAGAAGAGAAAATTCAAACCAGTTAATTTTGTTCATTGTAATGTATATAGAGCTTAGAAAAAGTTAAATACAGTTTTGAAAGGATTTTGATCAATTTCATTGTGTTAGTTCTCAGCATTAGGATGTAGAAATGTTGAGAAATTAAGCCCAATTAGGGCTGAAGTTTGATAATTACTGATCACAAATCTAGACGATAGGTGATTATGTGATGCTTCTATATACAGTAGCACTTGCCTTAGTCAAAATCCAATTAACAGTGTTATTTAGTTATATGGCATTCTTTTTAGCACTCTGCCTATGAGAAATAGGTTAATCACAAGCATCAAAAAATGACAGTAATAAATTCATCAATAAAATAATATATTCTTGAGTTAGTTTTCACTTGCTATGTTGCTCTTCTTTTGTATTTTCCATTGATATTTGATGTTTTGAATAGTAGTTTTTTTTCTTTTTTCAGTTGAAGTATACTTGACGCAACAGAAGGGCAAATTTTAAAAACCCTTATTTCTTTTCTTTGTGTTCTTTAAACTTCTTTCTTGAATTTCACATCCAATTTGTCTCTGCTTTTGGGAAAGAATAGAAAAAGCCTGATATTACTCCAGAAAAGAACAATAGCCATTTATGAAAAAATAATTAGGAAGAGGGAGTTGTAAGAGATAATTTAATGTAAATTTTAATTTAAAGTAATAATTCTTAAAATTCTTAATCAGAAAAATATTACTGATATCAATATTATGTTTGTTACTATGTTTACTGTGTAAAAAAAAGTGTACTGGTATATTTTAGAAACATTTTAAGCAATATTAATTAAACAGGATGCCTAATTGCCTCATTTCCTGAACGTTCTAGTTAATCAGGCTATTTTTGGTACTGGAATCTACTGATAGGAGTAAGTCCTATAAGAACCAGGAAGTAACCCTTATTTCTTTTCTTTGTGTTCTTTAAACTTCTTTCTTGAATTTCACATCTAATTTGTCTCTGCTTTTGGGAAAGAATAGAAAAAGCCTGATATTACTCCAGAAAAGAACAATAGCCATTTATGAAAAAATAATTAGGAAGAGGGATTTGTAAGAGATAATTTAATGTAAATGTCTTATGTATGTGTTAAGAACTAAGAGAGACTATACGGACCTAAATTATAGCCAGAAAGGATTATGTTCCACAAAGAACGTTTTCACTGTGAGTCTAACTAACTATGAACCTTTACAAAATTGACAAGCGGGGCGCCTGGGTGGCTCAGTCGGTTAAGCGTCTGCCTTGGGCTCAGGTTATGATCCCAGGGTCTTGGGATAGAACCCCACATCGGGCTCCCTGCTCAGTGGGGGGCCTGCTTCTCCCTCTTCCTCTGCCTGCCGCTTCCCCTGCTTGTGCTCTTCCTCTCTCTCTAATAAATAAATAAAATCTTGGAAAAAAAAAATCAACATGCTTGGGAAACTTAAACATGGGAGATACTTATCTCTGAGATGGTTTCAGTATTTGCTAATGGGGGAAATTCAGAAGAAGCAGACAGTTTTATGTAAATCTCAGTAAAATACCTTTTCAGTGGTTAAAAAAAAAAAGAATACTTTGGTTAGTTGGCTATTTGGATCAGTTTAGAATGTTTTCAAAAATTAAGGTAAAATATTAATGCTAATTGTGTTCTGAGTTTAATTGTTAATTGAAAAGATAACTGTGAATCTTTCAGTTTCTCCAGGTTAACCCTATGTACATTAGCCTTATACTGAAAATAAAAAAGGTTTAGGATATAGGGCTTATAGTCCCTGATCCTAAGCTTGACCCCTGGATTGTTTTTCAGGGTAAATCTTTCATATTTGCTTTTGAGATTGTCAAGTGTTTATTTCTCATGCAGTGAGGGAGTGAAGTGTACAAAAGAATAAAGATCTTGTTAAATTGTAGGGAGTTCAGAAATCATTTTTTAGTGGGAGGAACACTAAATAGAACAACAGTATAGAATGTAAAATTTGGAGTAAATTTGACGTGTTTTCAGAGTAAAGTGTTCTATTTCTCCTGTACATGTTAAAAATAGACTTTGTATTGATATTTTCACACGTCATCTTTACTAATACATACACAGCGTATCTAAGGGTGACAATTTTAACCATTGTTAAATTATTCAACAGGGACTAAACAGTAGGAGTAGTTTACCAACTCCACAGCTGAGGAGGAGTTCCGCAACCTCAGGTCTGCCGCCTGTTGAACAGTCTTCAAGGTGGGAACGCAATAATGGCAAGAGGCCACACCAAGACTTTGGCATTTCAAGGTAAAATCCCCAGTCTTTTAAAGAAACTTGAGTCCAGCGCATCCATTTTGTCTCTGTTGAATGAAGTTTGAAATAACTAAAAGCAGAAAGGAACAGTTGAAGTATTTTAGATATAGGTCAGCATGGGTAGTAATAAGGCATGATAGAGAAACTGATTCTTAAAAAGGAGGCTAACGTGTCTTCTCCAAAAAGTGCAGTACGTTGGGTACAAAGCATGCTGAGGCCTTAAGAAGAAATCAGGAAGGCAGTGTAAGGAATCTGGGGTCAGTTTAGGACAGGGCAGTGAGAAACTTTAAAATTTGTATTAGTGGCCTTTATGGGGGCAATCACAGCCATCCAGTGCACCGTGTCAAAAGACAGGTCAACAGAGTGATTGACTTGTTAGGGGAGGGGCACATTCCCAAGGCTTATCTCAGATATTAGATACAAGGTAGCAAAACTCTTCCAAACCCTGTTGGTGCTGGAGGACTAAGACTACTCATATATTCTGTACTCACTTGAGGATTGACTTGGAACTGACCAGTGCTAATCCTACACATGAAAGGCATCAGTAACTCCCGCTAAATGAAGCTGGGAAAATGCAGGGGCTGAAATTTTCTGACTGTAAATATGCCCATTTACTCTCATAACAAAGGATTCACTACTTTTTTTAATAGCCAGAAACAGAGTGATTTCTGGTGTGAGTTAGGAACTTCTCTTTGGTCACTCATCTGACTATGTTAACAGAGTTAGAATTAGTGTAATCTTTCTGTTAAACCACTGTTGTTACTCGGCACGTGTTGTACTTTGTTTAGCTGGAGCTGTATAGTTACACATTTGAAACAGCAGATGGCAGGATTGGATCATACAGATTTGTCTGTTAAAAGTTGCATTAACGTTTATATAGGAAATATGATCAAATAATGTTCCAGATTTTGTGTGATTTTTAAATTTGAATCTTTTATAATATATTCAAGTAGATGAACTCCTTTTTTATAAAAGAAAAATGGAGTGAAATAATAAAACAGGAAGGGATTGATGTATAAAAAGTATAATCCTGGAGAATGCAAAGCTTGCCTGGGGCCTAAACATGACAGTATTGGTTTTTTGGGGTTTTTTGTTTTTGTTTTTTGTTTTTTAATGGAAGCAGGATATGGGGAAGTCAGCGATGATAGGAACTGAAAATATGACATATTTCTTAACCATGGGAAACATCATCTTGAGAATACTGTTTGGTTTAAAAAAGAATGATGAAAATGATTGCTTTTTAATCTTTCAAAATCACACTGATGTAAAAGCAGTACATTTGCAATTAAAGAAACACTTGATACAGTGAGTTAAGGTCAGTTTTATCCTGCTGACTTAAGATGGTTGATGTTAAAATAGAACCATGGTCCCAAAGAAAATTAATTCTGAGAAATGTTATATAAAAGTAAATGTTTGCAGATTCAATATGTAATTACTTAGCTCTCATTAAAACAAAACCGTATGCCTCATAAAAGATTTAGAAATTTGGAGAATAAAGTAACTTATGGTATCATGCATCATCTACTTGAAAGAGCTCAGGCTAGTAGTAACTTTTCTAGTGTGCAGAACCTGTAGCTTCTCAGTAATAAATTTCTAAGTGTGCTTTGAACATAGCGTATGAAGCATTTGCAACCACTATTCTTTTCGAAATTCAAGTCTCTAGATCAGTGCCATCCAATAGAAATTTTTGTGACGAAGGGAGTATTTTATATCTACACTGTCAAGTATGGTAGTCCCTAGCTACATGTGGCTATTGATTACTTGAAATGTGTCTGGTATGTTTAAGGAACCAATTTTAAATTTGATTTAATTAATTTAACTAAAATGCAAAGGGCCAAATATGACCGTCATATAGACCTGTATGGCAACCATATTAGACAGCATAGCTATAGATCTTTCATGTTTGGTAATGTTTTGTTCAGGAACCTTTAGGCTTTAGTAGCTGTAACCGAAGAGACTTGTGAATCTGGAATCATGAGGCCATTCTTCTTGACTTTATTAGAGTACCCCAAAACTGAGATCACATGGCCTACATTTTTGAGTCTTGATTTGAAGGCAGCCTTGGATTCTGATTGTAGCTTCTCTTACTGTGATTTTAAATGACCCTGACTGTGCTTTCAACATGGTTCCGGTATTGAACCTCTCATTCTCTGAAGCTCTGACCGAAACCAAATTTCTCATCCCTCCAGGTGCTTTTTCATGTTACTATTTTTCTGTCCTTATTTCCTGACATAATGCTGCTACCCTCTCGTTTCGTGGTTGCTTTAAAAAGATGGATTTAACTAGAAAACTTGGCGTTATCTTTGTGTCCTGTTCCTGTTACTTACCTGTAGATACCAGTTGTCAGGCCTGTGTCTGCATCTCGCTTCCTCTCTGCTCCCTCTTCTCCTTTATCACTTTGCCTACACTGTTTCATGCTTTCTTTATTCCTTACCTGAGCTACTATCCTCTTAACTGGCCTTTCCATTTCTAATATCCTTCACTGCCTGATCCATCTCCTACCCTTCCACCACAAATCTTCCTTAAACAGAAGCTTGATTATTCAGTTTTTCTAGTCATTACGTTTTGGACCCTTTACCAATGCCTATAGAATAGTGCCCAAATTCTTAGGCTGGGATTTGAAATCCTGTTATTCCCTCATGACAAAGCTGCACCCTTACTTGGAATATTCAAACAAACTAAAAGACGTGAGGAGTCTTGCAAAGAATGAGAACAGAAAAATGACTTGGAAAGCTCTCTAGGTGAAAACAGCAGATATGTGACTTGCGCTAAACTCTTCCTTGAACTTTTTCTGATGATTTCGTTTTTAGTTTAACTCATTTTGAAAATTAAGCTGAATTACAGTTTCCAGCTCGCCTTGTTTGAGTAAAGAGTAATATAGGATTTAATTTTGCTTTTCTTCATGCTTTGTCTGGAGAAAAAAGTGAAGTATTATAAACCCTATGATAGCTGTGATAAAAGGAATCTAAAGGAAGAAAACCACAAGGAAGAACAGCCACTGTATTATCTACCCTGAAGAGTTTATCACTTTTCATCTCTTACAGGAACTTGAAATTTTAATTAAGAGGGCCGTTACTTTACAACACCAAAATACATCAGTCTTTCTCTATTTATTTGAAACTCCAGTCAAGAGTAACTCTTTGCTGTTCCCTCCATTTGTCCGCTTCTGTGCCCTCCGGTAGTTGTTGTCTCTCCCTGGAACAGGTCTCCTCACTTTAAGAATAACACCCTGATCTCCTCCTCCCTTGGTTTCCAAGGAGAAGTAATCTGTTTCACTTCGGAATCTCCTTAACAGCTTTTCTTTGTCTCTTTTATGGCACGTTCACTTTCTGCCGTGTGTTAGTCATTACTGCCCTTCTGAGGCCTGCTTGATTGCTGTGATGAGTTCGATTGCATTAAAATGGATCTTTGAAGATAAACAGCTGCTCAGTAAATGTCCTGCAGGAGTATAGTGTCCGTATTGGATTATGACAGTGGATGCTGCCTTCTGCTGAAGTTTCAGCTGAAGGTTCTCTGGTCAGGAAGTTCTAGGAGCTGTGGAATAATGCTTTTTTGGGTTAGCTGACAATTGGATTACCCACCTCTGAGTTCTAGGATTAGTAGCTATGGTTAAAAAATGGCTAAACTTGTATCCTTGTACTGACTGCTAGGACCCATCCCTCCCTGTGGACAAACAGAACACATTTTAGAGCTCACAGCTCACTTTTCTTTGAACAGACTTTCCCTGGAGAAAAATAGGCAAATCGTTTTCCAAAACTCCCTGGGCTATCAACTATAGTCACTCCTACACTAAAGAGACTTGCCTTCAACCTCTTCCCCAATTCATCGTTCATTTCCATAACTGCTCTGTAATTCAGTCTAATAATTTGTTAGGAACTATGTTCCCTAAATAATGTACAGGAACCAGCTTCTCAATTCTGTGTCTCATAGTTTATTAGAGATTTATACCAATGCCTGGACGCTATTTGAACTGCAGAGATTCAAGAGGGCTAATGCTGTCATCTCACTCAGTTTCTCAAGAGAATAGCTCTGTGAATCTAGACATCATACTGCCAATAAGTTTATACAGCTTCTCACACACCCACACAAGATGATACAAACCTTATCAAGGTAATTTGCATTGGTTATCTAAAAATCAGCTCGTAACATATGGCTTAACTCTGTGACCCTAACTTTTGACAATCTCTTGTAATGATTCCCAAATCTGACTTCAGTCACCCTCCTACCATCTGTTATAAACCTTGAGACTCCTAACCTTCTTGTCCTCTGCTTTCTTCAGTATTTTATGTAATCTCATTGGAGTGTACATTTATCTGGTTGTAGGCCAGAAATTAATTAGACGATTCTAGAACTGAGCTGAAAACCTGTAATTTGACCTGTACCTCTCAATTCTAAACAGCTAACTGAATGTATAGTATACTTCAAGTATTAGAAGACCCTGAATCGAGGTAGGAAACTGTGGAGCAGTGCAGTGGGTCTGGTTTGAAAAGGAGAAAGTCTTATCTTTGTTTTGAATATTAATCAGGGAGTAAACTTTGGTAGAGTACACAGATTTTTCTGTTTGAATATAGCCCTGAGTGGTATTCTTAAGTGCTTCCCTAGTCTCCCCCACTTGTGAGCAAGGAGTACTCAAGTACAAAGAACAGTTGAGCATAAGTAGGGACATGAGTTTATTGGGGGGTATTATTTGCATTGCCTCTTTTTGTCACATCATCAAATTATCATTACTACTGGCTTGAGAATAAAATATGATAGACTCTAAAAGTTAGATGTTAGAAGTTTTTACCTCTAGGAGGGAAGGTGGGGGGGGCGGTAACTGGGTGATGGGCATTAAGGGGGGCACATGATCTGATGAGCACTGGGTGTTTTATACAACTGATGAGTCAATAAATTCTACCCCAACACTAAAAAAAAAAAAAGGCCTTACATCTAAATCTCTAATTTTACAGATGGAGAAACACACAAAGCTAGAATCAGAATTGTTTTGTGGAAGGTGTGGGCAAGACCTTTTAAAAATAGGTAGAAAATAAATGCTTTCTCCTTTTAGAGTCAACGAAATTAGAGGTTGAATTTTAGCTCTGCCACTGTGAATTTTAGCTGTGTGAATGGGGAGACATTACTTAGCCTCTTGATGCCTCCGTTCCTTATCTGTTAAATAGGAGACTAAAAAACATAAACATATGTAAACTACCTAAAACAATGAATGGTACATACTAGATACTTAAAATAGTGCTGGTGTTATAATTTTTGTTAATGTCAATAAGGAAGTTTTAATGGTCACTAACTGGTTTTATGTGCCTTCTCTTTTTGTAATACAGAATTTTCTTCTCCCATGGGGATATAGAACAAACTAGATTTCTAGAAAAAGATCCAAGGAGAGCCTCAAAGCAAGAGTTAGTGAAAGAAAAAGAGTCCATTCGCCCAAAATTGGGGAGCAAAAATGATCTGTTCTCTAAGAAATTGAGACTAGGAACCTAAAGAGATCATCCATTTATTCCACATTATTCCAATATCTGTTGAACACCTGTATCAGGCACTGTGCTATATCCACCGGGAATGTAGAGATGTGTTAGAGCCCGTAAAGAAAATCACAAAATAATGAGGGAAAAGAATCTGTAAGCAGTGAAATTTTAATACACTATGGATAAATGTAATAGAGACATGAACAAAAACCTTTTGGGTCACAGAAAAAATAGGCCTTCCGTGAGTAACGGGGTAGGGAAGAACAGAAAAGATGAAGCAGTTGGAGAAGAGCTTATTGAGAACTTAGCCCTACGCTAAAAAATACTGAGTGAAAAGTAGAGAATCTAGATTTGTCCTTGAGCCTGTGGTGAAGTGCCCACATGAGTTGACAGAAGAGAAGAGGCTAGTGAATATCGAAGAAAATGTAAAATTTATGGTGTACTTGATACATGCTTGGCACTGGAAAGCTTTCAGATATATAATCTTAAATTGCATTTTACATATCACATTGCTGTAGTGTGTGATTGCCTACCTATGTTTAATTTCTTCATAAGAGCTCTAAAACCTACAATAAATATTTCAGTTATAGGAAATGACTGAGTTAATGGGTAATCAATAGCTGTGAAGAGAGGGAGCAGGAAATAATGAAAACTGTATTATTAGGCCAGTGATTCTCAGTGAGATCCCTGGACCCAGCAATGTCAGCATCACCTAAGAACTTATTAGAAATGCAGATTACTGGCCCTGCCCCAGACCTACTGAACCAGAAATCCTGGGGGTAGAACTAGCCATCTGTGTTCTAAGAAGTCCTCCAGATAATATTGATAACCTGCTTTATACCAGGGTTCAGCAAACTACATACAGCCTGTGGGCCTAATATAGTCCATAACTGTTTTGTTTTTGTTTATTGCAAATAAAATTATACTGAAACACAATCATACTTGTTTATTATTATTTGTGGCTGATTTTTATGCTACAAGGCAGGGTTGGGTAGTTGCAAAGCCAAAAGTTTTTACTACTTGGTCCTTTACAGAAAGCATTTGCTGGCCCCTGCTTTAGGCTTTAAGTACTAGATAGATGTCTAAACTCTGAATGTATAAGCATATGTTTCCTAGTTGAACTGAAGATCATGAATAAAAAAGAGGAAATTTCCCATGGCTTTAAAATTCTTAATCTGTTATCTTTCCCTTTTAGTCAAGGATCCTATCTAAATGGGCCTTTTAGTTCAAATCTACTGACAATCCCGAAGCAAAGGTCATCTTCTGTATCCCTAACTCACCATGTAGGTCTGAGAAGAGCTGGTAAGAAGTCATTCTTTATGATTTAAATGTGGGAGGTCTCAAAGTATCTGGTAGTGCACAATTTTTTCATTATCCATTTAGAGCTAATTTTGAATACCATTTTATGTGTCCTAAGTTAACACAATTAAGCAGTTTGGATTGGCTATTAGTTGACCATTTGCTCATTCATTGGTAACGCTTTTTGAACATTCACTGTGTACCAGGCACTTTGTTAGGCACTAGGGATTCAGGGATAAAATACAGAACTACTTAACTAACCTGAGTAGTTGCAGATCCCCAGATTCACATACCCAGAACAAGGGAAAATTGTATGGAAAGGGTATTCTTTTGCAGTGTGGCAATTACCTTACTGTGAGAGTAGAAAAAAACCTGACTATATCCTAGTAAGTCATTCTAATAGAATTTTTCCCACTTTATTTATTTAAGGTATAATTGACATATAATAGTATATTAGTTTCAGGCGTACAACAATGATTTGATATTTGTGTGTATTGCACAATGATCACTCCAGTGAATCTAGTTAACATCTGTCACTATACATAGTCACAAATTTTTTTCCTGTGACAACTTTTAAGATCTGCTCTATTAGCACTTTTCAAATATACAGTCCAGTATTATTAACTGTAGTCATCATGCTGTACATTACAGCCCCCTGATTTATTTATTTTATAACTACAAGTTTGTTCTTTTTGACCCACTTCACCCATTTCACCCACTCCCACTAATTAAGGAATTTTCCTTAACTCAAAAGATTATAGAACACTTCAAAATATTTTAGATGAAAGATACAGATACAACGTAGCAATAACAGAACAACCCTGATACCTACTTTTAAAGTACATTACGTCTGGTGTATATATGGAATATACATACAATTACAAAGTTCTTTTATGCTATTGTATATAAAATAAAAATCAATAAAACGTGAAGAGGCAGGAACATGTTATTGATAAGAAAAGCCGACACTAGAAGGAGATCTACATAAGACATTGATGTTGGATTTAACAAAGTCTTTAAAATAATGATGTTTTAAAAGAAATAGAAGGAAAGATGGACAAAAATGGGTTGATAATTTTAACACAGAACTGAACACACAAAAGAAACAGTGGACAGTTTAGAACTGAGAAATGTGGTTGATTAAATTAAAAGCTTGTAGGATGGTTTAAGAACGGATTGGACATGACATAAAAATAGAAAATATCCAAATTGAAACACAGGGAAAAAATATATAGATAACAGAATACTTATGGCTTCTGGTTCTGCATGTTAAGGAGCCTAGAAGCCGTCATTCTGTCCTAATAAGTAAAAATCTGAACAGACTAAAAAATCAACTCTTCTAGGATCTGTGAGAGAGGTGAGGAAACAGGGCAGTGGGTTCTTCCAAGATTGGCGAGATAGGCAAATACAGGAAGTAATGACTTACTGGAGCAGAGACTCACAAGGGGCAACTTGGAACCACTGCCAGTGCTGGGGTAGGAAAGCCTGAACTGAACTATCTGGCAAATTGCTGGAGGATAACTCTGAGAATTAAAAACTTCAGGGAGACCCAGTCATAAGGAGCCCCCCACAATTTTGTGAGATTCATCTCCAGGAGCTTGACCAGATCCTTTCAGAAATAGTGGAGAAAATGCTGCTATCAGGGGGCAAGGAAAAGGAACCATGTTTAAATACACCAGAGCACTTTTCCTCTTCTTAACAAGGCTGCCCTCAGGAGAGATCAGTCAACCAGAGCCTAATCAGCTGAGGATTGATCAGAGCCTGACTAACCTGGGGGAAGGGAAATACTCAACTTCAGTCAGCTCTAGTCATTCTCCCACCAAAGGGAGAGGCAAAAAAAACAAAAACAAAAAAAAAACCAAAACAAACAAACAAAAACAACCTGAGAAACACTTGTGAAGTTCTTAGTCCAGCAACACAGGCTCACTGAAAGACTGAGATCTAATCACAGGACTATACAACACTTCTCCTTCAGACCTCAGCACCATTTTACTAAAGGCCTATTTACAGCAGTGTCTTTTACCTGGTACATCATGTCTGGCTATCAAGAAGAAATCACAAGGCGTACCAAAAGGTAAAAACACAATTTGGATAGACAGAGTAATCTATCAGAATCAGATAGGGATGTTGGCATTGTCAGACTGGGAACTTAAAACAACTATGATTAATATGCCAAAGGCTCTAATGGATTAAGTAGATAATATGCAAGAAGAGAGGTGGAAATCCTAAATAATAAAACAAAAATGAACGCTCACAATCAAAAACACTGTAACAGAAATTAAGAATGCCTTCAATGGGCTCATGAGTAGGCTGGACACAGCTGGAGAAAGAATCTCTGAGCTTGAGGATATGTCAACAGAAATCTTCAAAACGGAAAAACAAAGACTGAACGAACAGAATATCCAAGGACTGTGGACAACTACAAAAGGAATACCAGAAAAAGAAAGCAAGAAGGAAGAAAAGAAATATTTGAGGCAGTTAATGACTGAGAATTTTCTCAGATTAATATCAGACACCAAACCATAAATCCAGGAAGCTCACAGAACACCAAACAGGATAAATATCAAAATACCTAGGCATATTGTTTTCAAGTTACAGAAAAGCAAAGATAAAAATTTCTTAAAAAGGCCAGTGGGGGGTGGTGGTGGAAACAACTTACCTATAGAGGAATGAAAATAATAATGACATCAGACTTAACCTTCATAAACCATTCAAGTGGAGTGAAACATTTCAAGTATTGAGAAGGGGGGAAAAACAACACCAACCTAGAATTCTGTACCCTTTGAAATTCTACTTCAAAAATGAAGGAGGGCTTTCTCAGACAAATAAAAATTGAGGGAAGTTGTTGCCAGTAGAATTGACAGACAAGAAATATTAAACAAGAAATATTAAAAGAAGTTCTCTAAAGAGAAGAAGAAAAGTGATATAGGTTAGAAACTCAGATCTGAATGAAATGAAATAAAAATAAAATGAAAAATGCCAACCTGGAATTCTTTATCTAATGAAAATATCTTTTAAAAATTAAAGCTATGTATTTTTTCATATAGACAAAAGCTGATAGAATTTATTGCTGGTAGACCTGCAATACTAAGATTCAGCAAAGGAAGTAGCTTAGGTAGGAGGAAAATGATCCACACTAAAGCATATAGTGGCAGGAATGAATGAAAAGCACTAGTAAGCCTAAATACGTGGGTGAATATAAGTGAATATTGATTTAAAAACAATAATAACTTCCTTTTAGCATGCGTAATATATGAAGGAGTCAAATATATGGTAACAAGGGCTTATAAAGGGTTGAAAAGGGGTAAATGGATTTAAACTAGTAAAAGTAGTAAAAAGTATAAGTTTGAGAGAAAGTAATACTTCAAAGATGCACACTGTAGTATCCAGAGTGACAACGAAAAGAATGAAAGAAAAAGGTATAAATAAAAAATGAATATAGGAGGTAACATTGGCATGATTTTTTAAAAAACAAAAAATAATCCAAAAGAATCCAAGAAAAGATAAAAGACAAAAAGAAGGAACAACTAAAAAAGAAATAGCAAGATAGTAGATTGAACACTATATCACATTAAACATACACTTTGTGGTTGGGGGGAGAGGCAGGGATCTGCCAGAGTTGTTAAGCATATTTTTAAAACATCCAGTTTTCAACAAAAAATTGAAAATACACTCCAGTTAAACGACAAAGATTGTCAGGCAGCTAACAACACAAGACTCAAGCATGTGCTCTTTACAAGATGCACACTCTAAATCCAAAGATGCAGGTAGGCCTGACCTCAGAGCTATCATATACATGAGTTAAAAATCGACAGAACTAAAGGGAAAATAGAGAAATCCATATTCGTAATTGGAGATTTTAACTCCCCATTCTCATTAGTAGAATAAGCAGACCAAAATATTAGTATAGACATATGAAAGGGTAGAGCAACATGACTTGACTGACTTGACCTAATTGACTGCAAAACAGTACATTCAGCCATCCCAGGATGAATATGTTTTCCAAGAATACACACAAGATGGAGGACAGTAGACCATTTGCTGGACTATGAGACAAGTCTCAATGAGTTTGAAAGTATTAAAACCCTAAATAGAGATTGACTTCGGGAACGGCAGAGAGAAGATCTCCCTAAACTCATTCTCCTGCTAAAATCAACAAAAAGGCAAAAAATGAAACTCAGCCATTTCACAACATTGGGAATTAACAAAAGCCTGAGAAAAAATTAGAAGTCCTCTGTATAAGAGAGACTGCTGAGCCTGGGTAAGACCGTGGGTCCTGTGACATCTTATTTGGGGGCTACCCCATCCCCTCTTTCTCCCTCAGTGGCACTGTTGCTAAAAGCAGGTAACATTGCTATCATCAGGGAGATCTGACCTCTTTTAGGACTCCACTGAGAGTATATAGTAAACAACTTGTCCCACCTTGAAACTCCTTGGGAAATCTCTATTCCCCGTGGGTATTTGGGTATTGTGGGTATTTGGACTCAGAGCTCAGCTCTCTAAAAAACAAACACAAGACCCAAACCTTGTGCCAGGCAGCCTTGTGACTGCCTAAGGCTGTGATTTCAGTGGTGGCAAACGAGCTACCTGGGAATTTAAAGGGAAATCCTGGATACTAGTCAATGACCATAGAGAACTTGAGAACATCTGAGAGATTCCTGGGGGGGTCTACAAGGCTGTGCACGTGCGTAGGAGAAGACCCCAGTTATTCACGTGGAGCTGACCTAGATGCCTCTCACAAGCAGGACGTGAAATCCAAGGCTGTTTCATAAACTGAAGTTTGAAGTGTGTTTTTTTCAACAGATTCTCTTCTACAGTTGACATATAGGCAAGACATTTAAAGAAATCTTTCAGACTCATCATTGATTGACAACAAAATTATTCTGATCCATGGGTGATTTACAGGAAGTCAAGCTTAAAAAATAAATCAAGAACTTAAAGGTAAAACAACAACTAGCAAAGAACTCAGTGGCTACACAGTCAGAGAAAACAGAATCTACATAGTTCTGAGATGGTTTCTTTGCAGAAATTGACAAGCTGATCATAAAATTCAAATGGAGGGACGCCTGGGTGGCTCAGTTAAGTGTCTGCCTTTGGCTCAGGTCATGATCTCCTCTTGGGATTGAGCCCCATGTCAGCAGGGAGTCTGCTTCTCCCTCTCCCTCTGCTCCTTCCCCCTCAACATGTGCACTCTCTCTCTCAAATAAATAAAATCTTAACAAAATAAAATAAAATTCATATGGAAATTCAAGGGACCCAGAATAGCTAAAGCGATTTTTAATAAAAAAGAAGAAATTGGAGGACTCACACTTTGAAATTTAAAACTTATTACCATGCTATAGTAATCAAGACTGGTACTGGCATAAGGATATTCCATCTCAATGGGATAGAATTGAGAGTCTAGAAATAAGTCCTTACATGGTCAACTGATTTTCAACAGGGGTGCCAAGATGATTCAATGGGGAAGAAACAGTGTTTTTAACAAATGGTGTTGAGACAACTGGATATACACAGGAAAAAGAATGAATTTGGAATCCTACCTGTTATCATACTCAAAAATTAACACAAATGCATTATAGACTCAACTGTAAGAGTTAAAGCTTAAAACTAGTAGAAGAAAACAAAACATTTTTGTGACTTTGGATGTTGAATACAGCATTCTAATATATGACAGCAAAAGCGCAATTCATGAATGAGAAAAACTGATAATTGGAATTCATTAAAATTAAAAACATTTGTATTTCTACAGACACCTAAAGAAAGTGAAAAGACACAGGATGGAGAAAATATTTGCAAATTATATATTTGATAGTGGCCTGGTATCCAGAATATACAAAGATGTCCTACAACTCAATAGTAAAAAGACAAATGACCTCATTAAAAAAGATATTTCTCCGGAGAAGATACACCAGTGGCCCATGCGACACGAAAAGATGTTCAATATCTTTAATGATTAGGGAAATGCACATCAAAACCACACTGACCCAAGACTTCATACCCACTGTGAGGCCTGTAATTTTAAAGACAGACAAGAACAAGTGGTAAAAATGTTCCAAAGTGGGAACGCTGACACATTGATGGGAAAGCGAAATGCTTCAACCACTTTGGAAGACAATTTGGCAGTTCAGTACTTGAAGAGAGAAATAAAATTGTGCTATCTTCACGAGTACAATTTTATACGGCCTTGAAAATCGGAGAACTGCAATCATACCCAATTGCCTGGAAATATCTTTTTAAAATGTAAGCAAGGCATAGAAGAAGCATGTATATTTACTGTCTAATTCAGTTTATAAAGTTAAAAAATAAGGGCAAAACTAACCTAAATTGTTAAAAACTGCGTACTTACATGGTATAAATATAGAGGAAGGCAAGAAAAACAATACCATACAAGTCAAAGTATGATTTCCTTTCATGAGAAGAAGGGGAGCTACAGGACAGGGTTCTGGGCTATGGCCATGCTTTATGTCTTAGTTGAGTGGTGAGCATTCCCATTGTAACTTTTCTGTATGTGTGTTATATTTCACACCAAAAAAGGTTTAAAATTAAAATGGTGAATCTGTATCGTAGAAAGCATTTTTTTAAGGGTTGCTAGGTTTTTCTCTGTCGTATCAAATTTCTACCCTAAGATCATGTAACCCTTTATTCTTCTTAGCCCATCTGTCAGGATTTTGGACACTCACTAGTATAATTAGAGAAAAGAGGGCTAGAAATTGGAACCTCAGTTTCCGGTTAGTAACTAATCATTATGACAGGCAAGACCCTTCTTGTCTGGTCCTCACCAGTTTTCTCTTCTGAAACATTAAATTGGCTGGCCAGATTTAAAAAAAAAAAAAAAAATTCCCATTCAGCTCTAACACTGTATGAAATTATGGGAGCCTCTACATAAACCAGTCTGATAGAACAGTAGAGGCAGCTCTGCAGAAAGGAGTATGATCTCCCAGTGTTAACTGTAAAACTAAATCAAGTTTTTAGCCTTTTTTTTTTCCAGTAGTTTTTTTTTCCCCACATGGGAAAATGAAAATACTACTTAACTCACAAGGTGATGAAAATAACACATTGTATTAAATAAAATAACACATTGTATTCAGGTTCTCGGGAGAACTAATAGAATGTGTGTATATGTATTTACAGAGAGAGAGAGCAAGAGAGGTGGCTTATTTTAAGGAATTGGTTTGCAGGATTGTGAGGGTTAGCAAGTTTGAGATTTGCAGGGCAGGCTGTCCAGCTAGAAATTCTAGGAGGAGTTGATACGGCAGTCCTGAATCTGAAAGCCGCCTGGAGGCAAAATTCCTTCCTCTTTGGAGGACCTCAGTCTTTCCTTTCAAGGCCTTCAACCAATTGGATGAGGCCCCCACACGGGGAGGGAGGGTAATCTGCTTTACTCAGTTTACTGACTTAAATGTTAATCACCTCTGAAAAACACTTTCACAGCCACATCTAGCCTGGTGCTTGACCAAACCGTAGATAGCCTAGCCAAGTGACACATAAAATTAATCATCACACACACACCACTATGCCTGAAAATATCAGAGCTCCTGAATAACTGTTATTTGCTTTCCCCTCTGATTCACACTTTACTTGGATCTTTATTTCCAAATAAAGTTTTAAATCTGCCTACCTTTCTCCAGATATACCCATTCCACCTTAGTTCAGGGCACTCAGTGAAGGTTTTTGGAGCAAATCAGTAGCATTAAAGATGTATTTCTGAAGCACTCTGTTTTTTTCATGTCTTAGCAATGAGCACGTGTTTGTATTCTCTACTAGTCATTAGGTTTGTTGAGTTGCAGGGATAGTATCTTTTTCTCCATTGTTAAACCCAGCACATTTTCTACCATATAGGAGGCTCTCAGATATTTGTTAAATGACTGAATGAGCTGGAAAGATGTGGATAAATTTTTAAAAGGAATCTGATGTTACGTTAACATATAATTTTGTCATTGCTCAACTTGCTTAATGCTGTTAAGAACTTTCATTCTTCAATAAAGTTTGGTAGCAATACTTTGTTCATGTGGATAATAAGCTGGTAGGGATATAAAATGTGAAAGATAAAGGCCAATGTGAATTAGGAAAATTTGTGCCACACTTTGTACATTTTAGTTACACTGTTAATATCTGTGCCATCTTGCTGCAGTATTTATTTCACATTCACTGATGATGACAAATAATGCCTACAATGTCTTGAAGATAGCTCCACCTAGGAATCTCTTTTATCATTTAATTGTAAATACTTTGCTTTCTTTAAAGAAGGAAGATATTCTTTTTAAATACACAGAGACAATAAACGCCTATGTGTGCATACATATTTATTTATTGATCTCTTTCCTCTCTTTTAATTTTTTTAAGGTGCTTTCCCCAGCCTGAGTCCTGTGAATTCTCCCAGCCATGGACCAGTGTCTCCTGGCTCCCTAACCAGTCGATCACACATAGAATTTCCTGACACTGCCAATTTTCTTACTAAGCCAAGTGTTATTTTACACAGATCTCTGGGCAGTGCACCCAATTCACCAGATATTTATCAGCAACTCAGAAATTCTGATAGCAGTTTGTGTAACAGGTAAGTTTCCCAAATTTTCATTATTTCTATTTAAAAATATGTTATTTTAATAAATATTACTAGTTTTCTATTTGCTTAAGACTATATCTTCTTTATCGAGTAGTTTTTATTCTTAACAAACTTTTTCTCATTTTAGTGCTATTACTCATTTTCCAATTAAGTGATATATAGTGGTATTCTATCCATCTCAAGATACCAGTAAATTATGAGAATTATTTTGGTGTCTAGTACCATACTACCCAGTTCATATGGTGTTTGTTTTCATTTTTCCATTTTTTATCAGTAGTAAGTGTTTACTTCAGACCTCACTGTTGACTTTCAAAATATGTTGTTCTCTTCAGGGACACAGGATGCCTTCTAGGATAAAGCCTACCTATTAGGTTTATCAAGAGATTGGACTTGTATGATATTTTGCAGTTAGGATCTTGGTTAAAAATTAAGCAGATTTTCTAATTGTATTTAGGTCAAAATTTGCTTGCCTCATTTATAAAGGTATATTTATCTGTTTTATTCTATAAGCTGTGGACATCAAATATTGAAATATGTGTCAACATCCGAATCTGAGTCTGGTACAGACTGCCACAGTGGAAAGTCAGGTGAGTTTGCAAAAGTCATGTGTGTTTGAATTTCAGAGCAATTTCTGACATTGTTTTAGAAGTTAATAAATGAGTGAGTTTAACTTCAATTTATCCATCTTTAAAATGAAGATCTAATGTTTTACGTACTTAGGAGATAAGTTGAGGAGTTACTAGGAATGAGTTACAAATAACAGATGGTGAAAGTGTTTTGAAGACTACAGTGTGCTGTGGAAATGAATGTGGTCTTTTCAGGTTATGGCTAGAGTTCATAAACAGTGAAATTAATTATATTAATGTTGAACTCTAAGCCCAAGAGAGTTTGCATACATTTTAATGGCATAGAGAGGAGTTGTTTTAAGTTTTAATTTGTTAATATCATTCTGAAACATTTTATATCCTCAAACAAATATTGTTGGTGATAAGTTATGGTTTTTGTATAATTTTAAAAAATTGATGACTCAGGCATACAGTAATAGTTAACTAGGTAACTCAGATCATCATTCCCACTGATGGGGATTCCCACTCCACCCTAAGAATAAAGGTAAACCAGAAGTAGATGGGCCTCCACGGGGATTATGGGCTCTTATCGATTCCTTTACATACTATAAAAGTCACCCTTTTGAAGTGTACAATTCAGTAGTTTTTGGTTCTTACATTGTACACACACACACACACACACACACACGGAAAAGACCAATCCTTCACAAACTCTTCCAAAAAGTAGAATAGGAGGGAAAACTTCCCAACGCATTCTTTTTTTTTTTTTAAAGATTTTTTTTAAAGATTTTATTTATTTATTTGAGAGAGAGAGAATGAGAGATAGAGAGCACGAGAAGGGTCAGAGGGAGAAGCAGACTCCCTGCTGAGCAGGGAGCCCGATGTGGGGACTCGATCCCGGGACTCCAGGATCATGACCTGAGCTGAAGGCAGTCGCTTAACCAACTGAGCCACCCAGGCACCCTCCCAACGCATTCTATAGGGCTAGTATTATCCTGATGTCATAACCAGACAGTAACCAAGGAAATTACAGACCAATATCCCTTATGTGTATAGACACAAAAATCCTTAACAAAATAATATTAAACTGAATCCAGCAAAATATGAAATGGTCACACCATGACCAAGAGGTATTTATCCCATGAACGCAAGAGTAGTTTAACAGTTGAAAATCAGTCAGTGTAATATACCACATTAATAGAACAAAGGGGGAGAAAAACACATGGTAATCTAAATATGTGCAGAAAAAACATTTGATAAAATCTAAGTCTCTTTCATGATAAAAACACTCAAACTAGTTATAGCAGGGAAGTTCTTCAATCTGATAAAGGACATCTGAAAAACACACACCTGAACATCATCTTTAATGGAAAAAGACTGATGCTTTCTCCCTAAGGTCAAGAATAGGATAAAGGTTTTTGTTTTCAGCACTTTTTTTTTTTTTTAAAGATTTTACTTATTTTTGTGAGAGAGAGAGTGAATGAGTACACACGAGCAGGGGGAGGGCCAGAGGGAGAGGAAGAAGCAGGCTCCCCATGGAGCAGGGAGCCAGACACTGGGCTTGATCCCAGGATCCTGGGATCATGCCCTGAGCTGAAGGCAGATGCCTAACCGACTGAGCTACCCAGGCGCCCCTGCATTCAGCACATCTAGTCTACATGGTACTGGTGGTTCTTGCCAGGAAAATTAGAAAGAAAAAGAAATAAAGGCATCCTGAATGAAAACAAATAAAACTGTCCCATTTTCATAGATCATATGAACCTCTGTGTAGAAAATCCCAAAGAATACACATACACACACTAGAACCAATAAACCTGTTTAGCAGAGACAAGATGCAAGATCAGTGATGTACAAAATTGTATTTCTGTATACTGGCAATGAACCACCATAAATTGAAACTAAGAAAACATTTCAATTCATAATAGTATTGATAAGAATGAAGTAGTAGAATAAATTTAACCAAAGAAGGGGAGATTTATAAACTGAAAACTACAAAACATTGTTGATAAAGATTAGAGAAAATCTAAATAAATTGAGAGGCATTTCATATTAAAAGATTAAAAAACTCAGTATTGTCAGTAGGGCTCCCAAATTGATAGATAAATTCATTGTAATCCTTATCAAATTCTAGTAGGCTTTTTTTTGGTAGGAATTGACAAGTTGGTCTTAAATTTAACATGGAAAGATAATGACCAACAATAACCAAAACAGTTTGGAGAAAGAACAAATTTGGAGGACTGACACTACAAAACTTACTGTAAAGCCACTGTAATAAGATAGTGAGGTAGTGGCCCAAAGACAAGTCTGTAGATCAGTGGAACAGAACAGCAAATCCAAAAATAGATTCTTGCATTTATGATAACTGAATTTTGATAGAGAAGCCAAGATAATTCAAAAGAGAAAGGATAGTTATTTCACCACATGGGGCCAGCACGATTGGATATTCACTTGTTAAAGGAAGAATTTGGACTCTTACCTTACTGTATACATAAAAGGTAACTCAAAATAGATCATAGACCTAAGTGTAAGAGTTAAAAACTTGAAACTTGTAGAAGAAAATATAGTATATAGTCTTTGTGACCTTGAGTTGAATAAAGCATTCTTAGATACCACACCAAAAGCACAGTCCATGAAAGAAAAGAATGACAAATTGGGCTTCAGCAAAATAAAAAGTTTTGCACTTCATAAGACAACAATAAGAAAAAGAAAAGACAAACCTCTGATTGAGAGAAAATATTTGGAAATTGTATGTCTGATTAGGTCTTATATCCATAATATATAAAGAACATTTATAATTATTAAGAAGTCAAACAGCTCAAAAAATGGGCAAAAGATGTCAGATTTTGGTCTGAGTCATTTGGTGAAGGATATAAACAAATGGTTAATGAACACATGAAAAGATGAATGACATCATTAGTCATTGCAGAAATGCAAATTAATCCTACAATGAGATAGCACTACGCTCAAACTAGACTAACTATAATAAAAAAGACGAACAATACCAAGTGTTAGCAAGGATGCAGAGAAATTAGAACTTTTTGCATTGCTGATGGGAATATAAAATGGTATACCCCTTTGGAAAACATTCTGACAGTTTCTTTAAAAGTTACACATAAATTTACAATATCACCCAGTAATACCATGGCTTAGAATTTATCCATGAGAAAACATATGAGTGCTCAAAGACAAGATTGTGAATGTTATGACATTGATGACACTGCAAAACTGGAAATGATCCAAATGTCCATTAACTTATAAATGGAGAACTATCATGTGGTATATCCATACAATGTAATTTTAAATTTAGCAATTAAAGGAACAAACTTCTGATACATGACACTACATGGATAGACCTCAAAACATTATTCTAAGTGAGAGAAGCCAGGCTCAAAAGATTTCATATTGTATGATTCTATTTATATGAGATGCTAGAAAAGGTGGATTTATAGGGACAATATCAGAACAGTGATCACCTAGGATGAAAATAGGGATTAACTATAAATAAGCAGCAGGGTACTTTTTGGGGTGATGAGAATATTCTAGAATTGTCGTAATGGTTGTACACTTGTAAATTTACTAAAATTGTTGAAGTATACACTTAAAATGGGTAGATTTTATAGTATGTTATTACACTATACACACACACACACACACACACACACACACACTTCTTTGGATTGAATGGTATCAGCTGGGAGATTCTCACTTGAGGACTCTCATGTGATTGCAGTCAGATATTGGTACGAGTCATCTGAAGGAATGATTGGGCTGAATTTCCAAGATGGGATTACTCATGAATCTGCTGACTATTGACTAGTCCATCTAAATATGATCTCTCTATGGGCTTCTTCCAACATGTTTGCTGGATTCCAGGAGAGGAGGAAGTAGAAGCTGCCAGTCAAATTAATGGCTCAACCCAGAACAGGCAAAGCATTACTTATGCCATATCCTATTAATCAGAGCAGTCACACAGGCTGTCCAGATTCCCAGGGCTTAGGAAATAGATGCGGTGTCTTGATGGAGGAGCGACAGGAATACATTTCAAAAGAGTGCAAGGGGGGTAAGACATAGTGTTGTGGCCAACTTTGGAAAAGAAATTATTACATTTATTTCAACTGTTTTTATTACTGTTCTATGTAAGATAGAGTTATTAGAAGTTTGGATCATTAAAAAGTACGTATGGGGCGCCTGGAGGGCTCAGTCGGTTAAACATCTGTCTTCAGCTCAGGTCATGATCTGTGGGTCCTGGGATTGAGCCCCACATCAGGCTCCCTGCTCATTCGGGAGTCTGCTTCTCCCTCTGTGCTCCTCCCACCCTCTCAAATAAATAAATAAAATCTTAAAAAAAAACCACCATATTTAATGAATCTCATATGTCATGATGGCTATTTTAGAATATTATGTATATTATATTAGAGGTACTGCCTTAACTTACCAAGAGTGGTTGCACATTCTAAATTTCATTTGTTAAATGCTTTTCATTGGGAAAAAATAGTATTTTCCAAAGGATATTTCCTGATCATCATTAGTTAATGATTTTTTAGTATATTCAGTGTTAGATTAAGATTTGACTAACATTTATTGATCATTTATTATATGTAACATCTAGTAAAATAGACGTTATTATCCATCTTTTACAGAAAGATGGATGCACTTTGCCATTATCAAGTACAAAATCAGGATTTGAGCCTAGTTCTTCTGAAACTCAATTCCAATATGTACTCTTAAAAACTATTTTACCTAGGGGCGCCTGGGTGGCTTAGTTGGGTAAGCATCTGACTCTTGGTTTTGGGTCAGGTCATGCTCTCAGCATCGTGAGATCAAGCCCCACATGCTCAGCATGGAGTCTACTTGAGATTCTGTCCCTCTCCCCTTCTCCCTCCCCCGGCTTGTTGCATGCATGTGCATGCTCTCTCTGTCTCAAATAAAATAAATAAAATCTTAAAAAAAAAAAACTTTTACTTAGGAAAACCCCCTACATATTGAAGAGTAAATGAATCATAACTTTATAACTTGAGTATTCATACACTTAACATATACCTGTGTAACCACCCAGATCAGTAAACTAATAAACAAAATATTACCAGCACCTCAGAATTTCTCCTCATGCCCTGTTCCAGGTGTACCCTCTAAAGATAATATTTGTCTTGGCTTTCAGTACTCATATGTATCAGTTTTGGTATGTTGTTGAACTTTTCATAAAGAGGATCACAGTATGTACTTTTGTGTCTAACTTCCTTCATTCAACATTATATTTTTAAGAATCATCCATCTTGTTGCATGTGGTTGTAGTTCATTCTCTTTGCTCCATAGTGTTCAGTTGTGTAAATATACTACATTTATTTATTCTACTGTTGATGGGTTTTGGGGAAGTTTCCTGTTTATAATATTACCAACAGAATGAATATGATTTTTTTTTACATGTGAATGAATGCTCGTTAGCTAATGGTGCTGCTTCCCTTTTCCATGAGATTTGGGGGGGGAAAAAGCATTATTAATCACATTGGTAGAGAAATAATTCACAGTAAATGATACTGTGTTTTAATTTTTAGATGTGCCTTGATCTCATTCATTTATAATTACGAATCTAGAGTTTTCATAGCCAAAACTCAAACAATTTCAGATGCTGGACATTGCATACATCAAATTGCTAAAAACTTCCTATTGATAGGGACTTACTTTTCCTTTTTTTTTTTAAGATTTTTTTTTTTAAAGATTTTATTTATTTATTTGAGAGAGAGAGAGAATGAGAGGTAGAAAGCACGAGAGGGAAGAGGGTCAGAGGGAGAAGCAGGCTCCCTGCTGAGCAGGAAGCCCGATGTGGGACTCGATCCCAGGACTCCAGGATCATGACCTGAGCCGAAGGCAGTCGCTTAACCAACTGAGCCACCCAGGCGCCCCTAAGATTTTTATTTATTTATTTGACAGAGAGCACAAGCAGGGGGAGAGGGGTAGAGGGAGAGGGAGAAGCAGGCTCCCCGCTGAGCAGAGAGCCTGACATGGGGCTCCATCCCAGGACTCTGAGATCATGACCTGAGCCAAAGATAGATGCTTAACCAATTGAGCCACAGGCACCCCATTTTATATTTTTTATAAGTAATTTTCCTTATAAAACTATGCACATAGGGCAAGTTTTATTTATTATTATTCTATGTATTTTTTGAAAGGTGACGAAGACAGCACCATTCCCTCGAAACAATCATTCAACTGCACAGAAGCACAAGAAGTGGAAACAGAGAGCAGAGACTACAGAAAATTATTTTTGGAAGGTGATAATCACCTAACAGAAGAGGCACAGAATGAACAGCAACCAAATGTAAAAGATAAACTTTCCATATGATTATGTTAAGGTGAAATATAACATTAGTTTAGTACTAGTTTCATTATCTTTGCCCAGAACAAGATTTTTAATATAATAGTACTTTTAAATTTTTTTACTGAAAAGTCCTTATATCATATTAAAGAAAACCTTGGGTTAAAAATAATAATTACAGTTGACCGTTAAACAAGGCTGGTATTAGGGGTGCTCACCCTCCCACATGCAGTCAAAAATCCACATATAACTTTTGACTCCCCCAGAATTTAGTTGCTAATGACCTTCAGTTGATCAGAAGTCTTACTGATAGCATAAACACATGTCAGTTAACACATTTTGTATGTTATATGTATTGTATACTGTATTCTTGCAATAAAATAAGCTAGAGCAAAGAATGTGAGTAAAAATCCTAAGGATGAGAAAATGCAGTACTGTATGTGCTGTGCTTACAGTACTGGGAGTCCTCTATTTACAGCACTGTACTACAGAAAGTCCAGGTATAAGTGGACCCACATGGTTCAAACTTGTGTTGTTCAATGGTCAATTGTACTTCTGAATCCATCATCCTAGAACAGCAAAGTGCATTCATTGTAAAATGAACACATGAACACATTTTAGTTTTATAGTAGGTATATTACTTTCTATGCTGATACTTTCTTCATTGTATATGTTAAAAGTATGAGGAACAGGTGCATAAAGCATTAAAAAACAAAATCTGCTTACTTATAATAGCAATGTTTTTGTTCTTAAGTTCCAAATTTAAGCTTTTTAGGGGAAAAATCATCCATTCCTTTTGGGAGTTAAACTAGTAATAAATGCCAGTGTAAGATAGGAGTCTCTTTCTATTATTCTTTGATACCTGTAACTTCTAAAATGAAAATAGTAGATTTTAGACTTGTATATAGTGTTTTGGAAAGAAAATATTTTTATTTATTAAAGTACTGTGAAGATCAGTAAGTCTTCTGATGCCTAGAAGACATTTTTACATTTTTCTGAAGATAGCATTTTACAAAGAGGGGAAATTGGAAGTACAGATTATATTTGAGAATAACTTTTGTTGAAAATAGTATTGACCATTTTTTAATGTTCAGTTTTAAGTGCTTTCATTTAGATGTGGATTTAACAATATTTTTAAAAGGTAAGGTTAAGTTGGTTTGTGTTTCTCCCCCTATATGTGCAGATTGAACAGGAAGCATCACTGGACCTGATTTTAATAGAAGATTATGATTCCTTAATAGAAAAGATGAGCAACTGGAATTTTCAAATATTTGAAGTTGTAGAAAAAATGGGAGAGAAATCAGGAAGGATCCTTAGTCAGGTTTGTTTAACATCTCTACTTTTTTTATTATAAATTAACTTTTTCTTAAATCTTTATAAAATGCAAAATCTAAAAACATGTAATACTGGGTTAGGCACAAGTTCAACATTGTTCACTGAATTCTTTTTTTCACAAATGAAGTCTTCAGTAGAAAATTTGAAAAGAGAAACCTATATACATAAACCCATATATGAAAATTATTATATGTAACGTATTTCATATAATTTTGTTTGAAAAAATGAAAAGTAGTTTTTTTGGCCCATATTAGTGGAATACAGAATAAAGAGTTACTTTATATTGAGCCCTGTGGTTGAAAAGGACATGAAAGGTAAGTTAGTTCTAACCACTGAAACCTATGCTTTATTTTCTTCACCTGCCCTCCCTGTACTTTACCCAAGGCCAGATGGTTCATTTCATGCTAGAACCATGGAAAAATAGTTCTTTTCTAACCACCCAGACTCAAGGTTCCCCCCGAGAAATTCATACAACAGCATCAGATTAACCTTCCCAAAATATTACTCTCATTATCCTCAAAGTATTTTATTTATGAAATGTACAAACATAAGGATAAATTATGTGGAGGGCATATAGTTTCATCTCATTGAAGTCTTTAGGGACAAAAATGTAATAAATACATTGTTCTGACTTCTGTTAACACCAGGGACTAGAGTAGAATAGATTTCATATGCCCCTTAATAAATTGTAAATAAAAAAGCTAAAGGGAAGAATGGAAAAATTTTAAAACTGGGACATGATATGGTAATCTTTCTTTGGTTTTCAAAGGTTTTAGGGTGATGTCTTCCTTTTTAATGTTTTGAAAAGAATTTCTTGTATCTTGTAAAGAAGTTTTTAATAAATTATTAACTTAAAGACATATATACATGGTAACATTCCCAAATGCAAATCACAAAAACATATTCTACTCAACTACAAATAGAAATTCTGATTTTTAAAGTAAATTTTATTTTAATTGACATTTAGGTTATGTATACCTTATTTCAAGACACTGGCTTATTGGAAATATTTAAAATCCCCACTCTACAGTTCATGAACTATTTTCGTGCATTGGAGAATGGCTACCGAGACATTCCTTGTAAGTATCAACAGATCTTATTACTTAAGTTCAGATAATACTGGTTTTGAAACTATTATTATTCCCTTCAGATCTAAACACTTTTTAAATTACATGTTTGGAAAAATTTTTAAGTAGGGATTTAAGTAATCTATATGCTGCTACCTAGAGCTAACGGACTACTATTAATATTTTGGTATATTTTCTTATTTATGTTTCATAAAGTGAATCATAATATAGACATATAGTGTGCTCTTTCCCTTAATTATTATATGGTGTCCAACTTCCTATGTTAATAATTATTCGTCTGAGTATCTTTTAAAATGTTTGGTGATTAAGTCAAGAGTGTCAGAAAATTCTTGACTTCAAAATATTTTTTAATTATCCATAGAGGGGCGTCTGGGTGCTCAGTCATTGAGCATCTGCCTTCGGCTCTGGTTGTGGTCCTGGGTCTTGGGATCGAGCCCTGCGTCGGGCTCCCTGCTCAGTGGGAAGCCTGCTTCTCCCTCTCCCACTCCCCCTGCTTGTGTTCCCTCTCTCGCTGTTCTCTCTCTGTCAAATAAATAAATAAAATCTTTAAAAAAATAAATAAATAGGGCTCCTGGGTAGCTCAGTTGGTTAGCGACTGCCTTCGGCTCAGGTCATGATCCTGGAGTCCCGGGATTGAGTCCCACATCGGGCTCCCTGCTCAGCGGGGAGTCTGCTTCTCCCTCTGACCCTCTTCCCTCTCATGCTCTCTGTCTCCATTCTCTCTCTCTCAAATAAATAAATAAAATCTTTAAAAAAAATAAAAAATAAAAAAATAAAATCCATAGAATTTCTGTTTTTAACTGTGTTCTGACTTATGGATTAATTGCTAATGGCTATTTGATTTTATGGTAAAATATAATTTGAATTTCATATTAGGAAATGATACAGGTTTCCTTATACATCTATATATTCTACAGTTTCCCTTCATATGGACACATTATGGGAAATCACTTATATAAACAGAGCAAATTATTCTTAAATTGGTATAACTCAATAATGATACTTAATGTGAGTTATATGTACTGTAATTTCCACTTATAAAATATGCTTTTTAAAAAGTGACTGCATTTTATAAATAGAATAAAGTGATACTTTATTATTTTTTTTAAAGATTTACTTATTTATTAGAGTGAGCACGAGCAGAGGGAAGAGGCAGAGGGAGACGGAGAAGCAGGCTCCCTGCTCAGGACCCCGAGATCATGACCTGAGCTGAAGGCAGATGCTTAACCGACTGAGCCCCCCAGGCTCATTTAAAGTGATACTTTAAAATGGACTTCAAAGGAAGGAGAATGGGAAAAATAAAGAGGCAATAAAGAGTCTTCACTATCAGCTCCATAAGAAAAGAGCCTCTGGATCTAACTTTTCTAAACTTTAGTATCCAAATTTGTAAATGGAAATTACAGTAGTCTCTACTCCATAGGTAGTGATAAGATAAGCCATGGAAAGCACATATCAGAATTCCTGGCATATAGTAAATGGTCAATTGACTATATGAATAATTAAGCTCCTCGCAGACTGACATCATATCGTATCGATGGCCTGAACACTTAGTATTGTGTCATCTGCTGATTCTACCTGGTACTCATTAAATATCTGTTGAAGTGTTGAACTTTTATTGCATATCAGCTGTGACTATAATCATTAGATCTATGAAGATTATATCATTTAATCCTTGTTGGAAAGTTTATATTATCTACCTTTCACAGGTGAGAAGTAAAAACTCAGAAGAAACTTTCCCAAGATCATAAAACTCTTAGAAATGGCAAAAGCTGGGTTTCACTTGTAGGTCTTGCCTTTTCACATAGTGGTATTTCAGTAAACCAGTGTTTTCTTGATCATGTACTATGTCTCAGACGCTGTTCTGGATGTTTTCATATGCCATTTTAACATTTCATCCTTCTACCTTCTAGCAGGCCTGAGAGATAGGTGTGTCTCTTCTTTTTCTTTCTTTCTTTCTTTCTTTCTTTTTCTTTTCTTTTCTTTCTTTCTTTCTTTCTTTCTTTCTTTCTTTCTTTCTTTTCTTTCTTTCCTTTCTTTCTTTCTTTCTTTTCTTTCTTTCCTTTCTTTCTTTCTTTCTTTTCTTTCTTTCTTCCTTTCCTTTCCTTTCTTTTCTTTTCTTTCTTTTCTTTCTTTCTTTTCTTTCTTGTGTTTTTTTGGGGGGGAGAGTTCAAGTATCCAGAATTTCTAAGTGTTGCCTGTGTGCAAACATGGGTCTCCATAATCCAGACACTATTTACATAGTACTTTTAAAGCTACAAAATAGCAACCTTCAGTAAATTTTTCAGTGCCTTTTTTTTTTTCTTTTTAAAGATTTTGTTTATTTATTTGAGAGAGAGCGAGAGAGAGCACATGCATGAGCAGGGGGTAGGGGCAGAAGGAGAGGGAGAAGCAGACTCCCCACCGAGCAGGGAGCCCGACATGGGACTCGATCCAAGGACCCTGGGATCACGACACGAGCCGAAGGTAGACGCTCAACCATCTGAGCCACCCAGGCGCCCCTCAATGCCTTTTGATTAACCCTTGTTACTTGCCTTTCCTTTGACTGTCTTACTACGGTTTCATAGTATATGTGAAAGTTTTTAAAAGAACTTTTTAATACATCAAGAGACTTTAAAAAAATAAGATGAAACAAGGGTTCCTGGCTGGCCTGGTCACTAGAACGTGCTACTCTACTCTTGATCTCAGGGTTGTGAGTTCAAGCCCCGTGTTGGGCATTGAGCCTACTTAAAAAAAATTAAAATGAAATATAATTGTGGGAAGTTATTCCAAGTCATACATTTTATTTATAAGGATATAGGATAGTAGAAAATTATTGTACTTTAAGAAATGTCCTATGTGAAACATAACATTTAATAAAACATTTTGGTGACTTTAGATCATAATCGCATACATGCCACAGATGTCCTGCACGCAGTTTGGTATCTGACAACGCGGCCAGTTCCTGGTTTACAGCAGATCCACAATGGCCATGCAGCAGGCAATGAAACAGGTACTTCCGTCTACAAATCTTCTTTTAATTATTTGTCTAGAAATAATAAATCAAGCTATCTCATTTCATTACCTCTGTTCTTCTAAAAATTTCACTAAGTAATTTTTGGTACATGTAAATGACTATATAAATTTTGATGCATAATAATGGCATGCAAATTAGGAAACCTAGGACCCACCTTAAGAGCTAGGTTTAGATGAAATACTGTTGGATCTACCATGTTTCCTTTCTGTGTCCCGTCCTGCTGCTTGCTATCTGGAATAGTGTGATAATCGTTTCTTTGGTCTTTTCTTTCAATTCTTGGTTTTCTGTTTTAGGTGTATCATGTAGATTTAAAATATATAACCTTCACAGTGAAAGCGGCCATACTTAAAAGCCTCACGTAAGCATTTAAACAGTGACATTAAAAACCTTTATTAACATTTATGTTTTGCTCACAAAGAGTTAATTCTATTCATCATGAATACAATTATTTGTACAAATGTAATGAATTTACATAACATGGTTGGTTCTCTTACTCTAGTTTGTAAAAGAAGGGAGAACTACTTCAGCAAGATACACACACACACACACACACACACACACACACTTAGTTACTGATGCCTGGAAATGTGATCATGCTAATCAGGGCAAACGTCATAGGCTTAGCCATTGCTTTACAGTGTTTGGTCATTGAGTCCAAAGTTATTGCCATTACGTTTTGTGCCATTTCCTATTTACTCTTTCTTAGTCCTTCTCATTCCTTCCATTAGTTCTGCGCTGCCATCAGATCATTTTCTTCAGCTTTTTTGTTTGTAGGTGTATTTATTTTCTTAGAAGAATATTTTCATATTTTAGCACATTTGATGATAGTGATTGATCCTTATTATCAAGAGGAAATAAGGTTCCTACTATACATGGGAGGATGTATGTCTGTAACCCAGGGGATTTTTTGGCCTTTTTGGTACTCCCATGTCCAGTGACAAAAGATAATGGAAAACTACAGTAATCCATTATCATCAGGATCACAATAGTGCAGACCCTTGAAAAGATAGGTCATTTCACTAGGCAAAGTACCATGATCAGTAGAGATGCTGGCTGAGGACAAAGGGAAAATGGAATTGTTAGTGGAATAAGAAAATGATAAATCTGAAGTACAGCTATGTGACCAGTCTCAGAAGTGAAATCTATTAATAGCTATATGTATTTTCCTCATTGATACTTATTTTATATAATAAGCAGATTTTTTCTTCCTCTTTCTCATTCTCCTACCACCCAAATATTGGTGGACATTGGGTTCTTTCTACTTTGGGGCTATTATGAATAATGCTGCTATAAGTATTCTTGTACTAGGTTTTGTGTAGATATGTTTTCATTTCTAGCTGTGGAATTCCTGGGTCATAAGATGATTCTGTGCTTAACATTTTGAGGACCTGCCAAAATGTTTTCCAAGGTGGCTGCACTATTTTATTTTCTCAAGAACAATGTATGAAGAATCCAATTTTTCGCCACTTCTTGTTATTACCTTTTTGATAACCATTCTAGTGGCTGTGAAATGGTATTTCATTGTGGTTTGGATTTGCATTTACCTAATGGCTGATATTGTTGAATGCCTTGCCATTTGTCTTTCTTCTTTGAAGAAATGCCTATTCATGTCTTTCATCCATTTTTAAATTTGGTCATTTGTCTTTTTATTATTGAGCTGTAGGAGTTCTTTGTATATTTTAGATATAAGTCCCTTATCAGATTTATGATTTGCAGCTATTTTCTCCCATTCTGTAAGTTGTCTTTTTACTTTCTTGATAGTGTCTATTGAAGTACAAAAACTTTTAATTTTGATGAAGTCTAATTTATCTTTTTCTTTTCTTGCTCATGCTTTTGGTATCATATCTAAGAAGGGTTTTGCCTAACCCAAGATCATGAAGATTTACTCCTATGTTTTCTTCGGAGAGTTTCATAATTATAGGAAGTTTAGGTCTATGACCCATTGGAACTAATTTGGGGGATAAAGGAAGAGGTCTAACTTTCTTTTGCACTTGAATATCCAGTTGTCCCAGAACCATTTGTTGAAAAGAGTTCTTTATATATACTCCACATAGTCGGCTCTTAAATGTTACTAAATCAGTTTCTACCTTATAAGATGTGAGCATTGAATGAAACAACATGTATGAAAGAGCCTAACATCATGCAGGGCACATAGATGGCTCTCAGCATGGTCTTAGCACCCTTGTACAAAATCAGTTGGCCATAAATATGAGGGTTTATTTCTGGACTCTCAGTTTTAGTGCATTGATTTTTATGTCTGTCCTTATACCAGTACATTATCTTCAGAGCTTTGTTAGTAAGCTTTGAAATTGGTAAGTTTAAGTCTTCCATCTTTGTTCTTTTTCAAGGTTTTTTTGGCTGTTCTGGTTCTCTTGTATTTCCATATGGATTTAGGTCCAGTTTGTGACTTCCTACCAAAAAAAAAAAAAAAACAGCTAGGATTTTGATAGGGATTATGTGGACTCTGTAGATCATTTGTGGGGAGTATTGCTATTTTAACAATAGTAAGTCTTCTGGTCCATGAGCATGGGTGTTTTTTCCACTTATTTAAGTTTTTAAATTCTTTCAACAATATTTTTTAGTTTGCAGAATACTGGTTTTGTACTTCTGTTAAGTTTATTCCTAAGTATTTTATTCTTTTTGGTGCTAGTGTAAATGGAATGGTTTCTTGGGGCTCATTTTTTGATTCATTGCTATCACATATAAAAATAATTGATTTTTTGCATAGTGATCCTTTATCCTGCAATCTTGATGATCACCTTTATTAGTTCTAATAGTTTTTTAGTTGATTTCATGGTATTTTTCTATATACAAGAGCATGTCATCTATAAGTAGAGATAGTTTTACCTCTTTGTTGTGTGTTGGTCTCAGCCTGCCAATAACAAGTGTTGTGGCTGGACCAGCTCTTGTGGTTATTATGATTGCAAGATGCCCTTTAGCAATAACCATCAAGAAACTTAAAAAATAACAGTTATAGGAATTGAAAATTACACAGCATAGCTGGGACCACAGAGCAAGGTCACAGGGGGAGAGAGAGAGAGAGGTCACAGGGAGGGAGAGAGAGAGATGCAAGCAGATGCACCTGAGGTTCATTGGGGTCAAGAGTAGTGGGGTTTCACTGGCTCACTCTTTATTGGTGAATTTAAAGCATAAGAGCAGGAATGTAAAGCATGGATAGAGAAAAAACCAGCAGCCCAAATGGTCAGTTATTGAAATGAACCAGGATTTCTAAAACAGAAGTAGCCTGGCTGTTTGTCTAGACAGGTGGCTGGCAGGGTGTTTCTTTGCAGTTGGCATCTTTGAAATGGATGCCTGGGAGATCAAAGCTTAAATCAGGCACTTATGTTACAAAAAAGGAGGGGGGTACCGTCAGGATTTACACTATTCTCTTCCAGTCTGGATGCCTTTTACTGAGGCCTCCTTTTAAGTTAATCAGTCAATTAAAAGAATCACCATTTTCTGAAGAAAGTAAACAAATAGGATCTGTGATAGTTATGTTGAATTGTCCTTGCCAGCTATTTTATTTTTCATACTATTAATTTCATGTTAAAACAAAACTGAATGTATTAGGATCCTAATATGTCAATTTTAAGTAATTGAGTTTAAAGGGATGTCTTTTGCCATTTTTGGTATTATATATGTGTATTTATAATTTTAGGGGAAATCCAGAATGCATATAACATAGGGAAAAATCAAATTATTGGCTAATGTTGATAACTAAAGTCTTATTAGAAATTTGAATATTTAAATATATCTTTATCCATACATTTAACTGTCTTAATTATTTTTTAAAAGTTCTGGTGTGGGTGATTCTGAAACTCAATTTAATTAAAAAATAGAAACAGCATAAAAATAATGAGGTATCTTTGTAATTATCACTAGTGTGTATTAAAGTCATTATGTTAAAAAAAATTCATGTGGGGCACCCGGGTGGCTCAGTTGTTAAGCGTCTGCTTTCGGCTCAGGTCATGATCCTGGGGTCCTGGGATCGAGCCCCGCATCGGGCTCCCTGCTCAGCGGGGAGCCTGCTTCTCCCTCTCCCACTCCCCCTGCTTGTGTTCCCTCTCTTGCTGTGTCTCTCTCTGTCAAATAAATAAATAAAATCTTTGAAAAAAAAATTTTTTTAAATTCATGTGATGGCAAATATTTAGTGAAGTAAATTATGATAAAGATCATTTTGGACTCTGACAAGCCAGGACATTATTCCTAGTTTGCCACTGATGAAGTCAATCAGTGAAATTTTGTATCTCTCTAATATCTTTGTGGTTTTATTTGCTGTCTACTCTAAATATAATTTATTTTTTCCTTCTTATACTTCCTTCTTATACTTTCCTTCAAAAGTAATAGAATGACCATCTAAATAGATAAAGCCACCAAAATACAAAAAAAAATGAAGAAATCAATGGTAAGTTATTAAGACATGGAAAGCACAGTGTTGATAGTGAAAATATTGTTTCTAACTGGAAGATAAAAAGAGAATTATGTTATGAGACATTCCTCAGTTTTCTACTTCTTTTCATTTTCCGTAGTTTTTCTTGCCATTGTCTTATAAGGGGCTTCATGGAAAAAGAGAAGGGAGGAGAGACTGTAGTCAGGGCTACAATGAAATGTAATCTCTCTAGTAAGTTTTGAAAAGCATCTATGTTGAGAAGCTTAGTTTGTTAATACATTAAACTTCTAAATCTTCATACAGTTTCCACGAAATTTTATTCTCTAGATTGCTTTTTCCTGTTACTTCCTATGCCCTGGCCATTATCTCTAGTCCTTTAATAATAAATGTTAAGAGAACCGGAGGCTTTAAAAAATTATTAGCCTGAGTAAGAGAGCATCATAAAAATCTCATAATGTCTTTATAAAGTAAGTGACTTCTGCGTCTTGTTTAACCTTGTTCCTCTCTAGTAGCATGTGTGTTGGAAAGAATAGACTCTTTTAAGTCCCTGTTTATAAATAGAGTGTATTTCTTAGCTTAGTCAACAAGTAAGATAAATAATCATATTGCCTATGGGGAACCCCCTCCTTAGTCTCATTTTGTGAGGAAGTTATGTGTAATGCTGGCTTATTTTGCTTGTTCCTCAGATTCTGATGGCAGAATGAACCCTGGGCAAATGGCTTACATTTCTTCAAGGAGCTGCTCTATTCCAGACGAGAGCTATGGTTGCCTTTCTTCAAACATTCCTGCACTGGAATTGATGGCTCTCTATGTGGCAGCCGCCATGCATGATTACGATCACCCAGGACGGACAAATGCATTTCTAGTGGCTACAAATGCCCCTCAGGTAGGAAATACGTTTTCAGAAAGATTCAAGAGTGATTCTGAAGTTTCACAAGCATGTGGTATATCCTTTTGTAACCCACCCTTCAGTTGACTCAGATAGGCATTCCATCTATGTGGTAATTAATTGGATTTTAACACATGGCACTGACATGAGATGTGCCAAGGAATGAAGAAGAAATTACCCTCTCCCGCTTGAAAAGAAATAAAATGGTCATCAAAGAATAACTCGCTGTTTTATGAAATTCTGGAAGCCTTGCTGCCAATATTTTTGCCTTTGATCAAATTGATAAGACTGACTAGATGTAAGCCTGATTCTTCCTTCTTCCTTTCTGTGGCTAAAAGCATAATGATGAAGAACTATTATTTTCGTTGCTGTCTTCTTTTTTCCCTTAAGGCTCAGACTCTAAATCTCTTAGTGCTGCATATATTAGTGTATGTAAACATTTCTTCTAGTACCACTTATTTTTGTATCCAGTATAGCTTATAAGGTGCAAGATTCCTCTACCGTCAAAATTTGCATAAGAGGTAGGAGTTCCCACAAATGGATACTGTAATTGCAGTAGTTTTAGACATTAGGACTTGGAACTAAATCCTTGGTTTTAAGTGGTTGTGGGTGTTTGTTTCGGCTGGTGATTCCTGAAATGTCATCTTTGTTTCTAACTGTGTGCCTTTCAAAGAACAAGTAGTCAGTGACTGCTTGCTGAATTCAGCTTACGTCTTCACTGCTCTGTGTATAAACCTCACTTCTGATTTTTTCATCTTCTGTAGCCATCCTGTGTTGCTCTTCACACTTCTCTTTCCCACACTCTCACTATTTAAAAGAAGAGGAGATCGGTTCTCTAGCCAGAACAAGAATAGGATTCAGAGACGGAGAGGGAGAGAGGGTTTAAAATGCTACATGATTCATTTCTCCAGTGAGGCTTTATCTATTAACAGCTCATGATTTCCGCAGGTAACTTTTCAATGAATTTCGATCTAGATATTAATATTTGTCCACTTTCTAAAAATAGCTGTGGGAGAGATGACAAACCAAGGACACATGCCTCCTCATGTGCATTGCCATTCTGCAGGAAGCGGAGGTGCATTCTCTGTCTCGCCTCACACTCCATCGTCTTTAAAAACCTGGTACTGCGGGGAGTCGTGGAGCTGGGTGGACGGGGCACAATGCAAAAAGCACTGGTCTTGAGATCAAGAGACCCGAGTTCGATTTCTGATTACCCGGTCATTAGCCATGTGATCTTAGGCAAGTCACCCTTGTCTTTCTGAACCTCAGAATACGGACCTGATATGATTAAAGGTAAGGGGACAACATATGGGATGTTTTCCATTTTGTGTGTTTTGAGAGGCTCCTGAATCAGGTATCATATAGACGGAAGTTACTAACTCTTCTCTTTCACTCTTGGCTTTAAGTCTTTCATCAGCTTCTAGTACAGGTGAGTCAGAGTTATTACCTCTCCTTCAAGGAGATGATGAGTGAGCGAACTCCAGTGTTACCTCTCTCATCTGCAGATAGAACAATGATATGTGAAAATCATTCCTACAAGTTATACGCTCAAAACTGTTGTCCTAATCAAAAGAAAAATGTGAAGTCTGGATATAATATCAGTAATACACATAATTTCTAACTTCTCATTGTTAAGGACCACCAGTAGAGGAAACAATGGGAAGTGTCGGAATGGAAAGGAAATTGCCAGGGAGTTCAGCTACTGAGAAAGTATAGTCTTCCACCCAGTCTCCTTGCTTACTTCCGGCTCCCCTTTGGTCTGTTCCAGACCCTTTCACCTCAGTCCTGGTAAAAGTCATTGGAATGGCTCGGGGGGGGGTCATACCTGATTTAGCCTCCGTTGGGTCTTCTGCCTTTATTCACCCAGGTCCAGCCTCAGTGGCCTCCGGGCTGTTTTCTTCTGTATCCTGGGCACACTCCCTTTCTGAGAGCCTTTGCACTTCCTGTCCTCCCTGCCCAGAGTGCTCTCTCCCCACACATCTACGTGGCTCACTTTGTCACCTCGTTCCATGTAACATTCCACGAGCCCCCTCCTGGGGCGCATTATGTTCCTAACCTGCTTTATGTTTTCCATAGTAGTGATCATTCAGCATACTATATATTTTGTTTCTTGTAGGTCTCTCCTCAGTGGAATATGGTTTCATGAGAATAGGGATCTTTGCCTTTTATTCCCTAATACCTAGAATAGTGCCTAACACATAGAAGTCATTTAGTAAATACTTGTTGAATGTTGAAGGATGCCTGATTTTTTTGCTCTGCAGGACTGCTAGCTTGTCTGAAATATACTCTGTTCTTCCCAAAGTAATGAAATTCACGAGACCTTCTTCAGCTAGTGCGCGTGAGATAAGGATCCTTCTGTGAAAGCGTGAGGTGTGTTTATTAGGTAATAAAATAGGTCCTCTCATTTTGGGAAGCTCAGTGGGTCTAATTAGGCCACAATTAGTGAAAAATGTTATTGCTTCAGTGGTAGTGTATAGTACCACCAACTGGATCAAATGTTCTTCATTCTCATGTTAAGGAAAGTACACTGGGAAGGTACAGGAGGATTATTTTATATTCTGGCTATGAAAGAAGGTGAAACACTTAGGTTTATCCTGAAGAGATGCCAGTATTAAAATTCTAAGAGATTTCTGAGCTATTTCCACATGAAAAGCTGGCTAAAAGATGGAGATTAGTGCTTGAGGTATTAGAGTTTGAGAATATTTTCATGATATTTGGGGTAAAAGAAAATGAAATTTGAGGTTGAGATTTGTAAATTGGAGACACTCATAAATGTTTTATCTCCCAAAATACGTATCAAGATGGGGACTAAACACATGCATTTGACTCTTCATTATAACAGAAGAATAGGTGGGGAAAAGTATTATCATCAGAAGATTAAAGAGTTTTCCAGAAATTTCTATTTCTGGAAAATGAAAAACAGATGACTGTGGAGAGGTGAAAGTATATTAGAGGTGGCTACAGCTTAAGTGGAACTCGAGAGAGACTCCTGATGCCGTTTGCCCTGGCTTGCTGCACACGCGTGTGCGCACACATGACCATGTGCACATGCACCCCCAATCCCTGTACACGTACACTACACATCTTTATATAAAGCTACTACAACCCTGCATTTACCTCCAGGCAGAAAACTCATTCCTTAGGTATTGAAGAGAGTAAGAATTACTTGTTGTGAGTATTAGTACTCCAGGGTAAATCCTTCTCATTCTGGAAACTTAACAGCTGACAACTGGTCTCATAACTGTAAGGCAAAACCTACTAAGTAACAAACGCCAGCCACATTCATAGAGTTCCTACTCATCTTCCCAAATTAAAGAAGAGACTCAACACTAAAATAAACAGAAGAGAATCTAGAATTCTTTTTTTTTTTTTTTAATATCAACAGATAACCCAAGGATCACTAGACATGACATTAACCAGTAGCTTGGAAAGAAAAGGCTAAAATGGACATGGTAACTAACTACAGGGGGGAAAAATCTAGGGAATAGAAAAGCTGTTAAGTTTTTCAAAAAGGTATTCTCAGAATTGGAGAAGCACTGCGTCCCTAAGAACAGGAAGCTATGAAAAAGGAAACACCAGCGAACAGGTTAGAGCTTTTAGGAACTAAAAATATTACTGCAAAAAAATTTTAAAAATTCAACACAAGCCCTGGAAGTAGACTCCAGGTAACCTCTCCCAGAATGCAGACCAAAAAGAGAAGAGATGGAAAATATCACGAAGGGCAAAATGGGGCATGGTGGACCAGGTCATGAACTGACTATTGGAGTTCCAGAAAGAGACGGTCTTTGGATCAAAGGGGTTCGGCAGGTCCCAGAGAAGTTGAATGGGGAGAAAAAAACCACATGGAGTGCCATGGTAAAATTTCTTAAAAAAAAAAAAAAGGAATTCCTAAGAGAATGACAACAGCACACATATAAAATAACAAAAATCCAACTGGCACCATATTTTAGCAACAATGGATGCTTGAGGGTACCAGAATAAACAAATACTGGGTGCCTACTGGGGGAGAGGCACTATTCTAGGCATTATTATTGAACAAAACAGGCCAAAAAACATCTCTGCCCCCATAGAGCGTACATTCCAGTAAAGCAAGAAAAAGAATAAAGAGTGTATGTAGGAGGCAGAGAGACGATTATGACATAGGTGCTAGGAAAGAAGTAACCCAGGAAGGGGATGGGGAGTGTTGGCCTAGAGATACTATTTTCAAGTTAGATTTCTGTATCCCGCTAAGCTACAGCTGAGTGTTAAGAGCAAAATAAAGAGAATCTCAGATATACAGAGATAAAATAAATCACGTACCCATTCACGCTTAGAAAGTTATCTAAAAAACATGTCTTAGCAAAACAAGGGTGATAAGGAAGACAAAGGATTTTAGAAGATACAGGATTACCAGAAATTTGAGAACAAACCCAGAACTTCAGGATAAAGGGATCCCAAAATGACAGCTGTTCATCTTGACTATTTCTTTTTTTGTTTTTTTTTTTTTAAGATTTTATTTATTTATTTGACAGAGAGACAGCGAGAGAGGGAACACAAGCAGGGGGAGGGTCAGAGGGAGAAGCAGACTCCCTGCCGAGCAGGGAGCCCGATGCGAGACTCGATCCAGGGACTCGATCCAGGGACTCCAGGATCATGACCTGAGCCAAAGGCAGACGCTTAACGACTGAGCCACCCAGGTGCCCCCATCTTGACTATTTCTTTAAGGAGAAGTACCTTTTCTCTCTCTTTTTCTTTTTAAAACTAGCTGTTTTGTTTTCTGTAGCACCTGATTTACTACCTCTGTTGGATTTTTTTAAGAATTTTTTTAAATGAAAACAATTTTTCTTAATCCAAGATTTTTCACTTTTTGGAAGTACCCTCTTTAATCTCATGACTAGGACCTAGAGACTTTTTAATGTTTCCTCTTGTTTCTTGTGTTTCAAAGGGGACATTTGCTCAGATTTGTCAGCCTCTTCCTTTGTGTGATCTAAGTCTTTGATATGTTTGCTGAGTTTTCTCTTTTCATTTATTGAAAGGTGTTTATTATTTGTTAAGATTAATTCTATCAGTTTGTATTAAATCCTGTTTCACATCTTTCCAACTCAAAAAGAGGGTGAAAAACAAATTTGCTTTGCCAAATTAGAGATTTGCCTGTGGAGCAAAGGAAGGGGATCCCTAGCTGGAGAAAGCCGGGATCAAGATGCTTTAGCACAAAGTCCAAGCATAGTTACTGCAGCTCCAAATTAGCCGGGGCTGGTCTTCCCTGTCTGGTTGTCCCAAAGCCCTCAGGAAAAGCCAGCTGAGGCTTCACCATCTGTTTTACCTGGAATGTTTTTCTTACCAGGTTTAAGTTTGGCTTATTGTTCTGTGTATTCACTGAATACTCTTCCTAAAGTGGAATGCTCATTTGCCTCCTACTTAACTGCTCCATGATTGGTTCTTGCCTCTACTCATCTATGAGGTAGTGGGTTTATTGGGGTCCAGCAGGGGACTCTGTCCACTTATTCTCCAGGTGGGTTTTTCCTTCTCATGCAATAACTTAGTTGGCCTCTCCTCAATCCATTCCCACTTTCCCCATGTATTTGAAATTTCCAGTATGATGATAATATCTAGATTTTAATATTGATTCAGATTTTTTTTGCCCCTATTTTATATTTCTTTGGTAATTTCAAAGGGCAGTTTGAATGGTGAAGAAATTCTGAACTTAATTCTTTTACCGATCTTGCTAGCCAAGAGTTTATTAAGTCAGCTAGCTCTACAGGGCACTTACTATATGTTGTGCTTTATTGAGCTGGATGTTTGGTTACTTCTTCCTGAACAGACAAAGCTGTTCTAATAGTTTATCAGTTTTTATCAGATTTGAATATGAATTAGTGAAATCACTATTAAATATAAAATGACCCCTTAGGGAGTCTTTGAAGCTTAATCTTTCTCTTTGAGGTTTATGATGTTTGAAAGTTGTAATAAGGTTAGTATAAATTTTTTTTGACATTTTTTTGTTGACATATACTTGATAATGTAACATTGTGTTAAGTTTAAGGTGTACATGTTCATTTGATACACATTATCATTGTAATACTACCATCATGTTACCTAATATCATATCTTTTTTGTGAGTACATTTAAGATCTAGTCTCTTAGAAACTTTCAAGTATATAATACAGTACTATTAATTGTAATCACAATGCTAGGCATTAGGTCCCCAGAACTTTGTCATCCTATAACTGAAGTTTGTAACATAGTCTGTTTCTATGAGTTCAGCTTTTTTTCCCCCCTTTAAATTTTATTGTTATGTTAATCACCATACATTACATCATTAGTTTTTGATGTAGTGTTCCATGAGTCATTGTTTGTGCATAACACCCAGTGCTCCACGCAGAATGTGCCCTCTTTAATACCCATCACCAGGCTAACCCATCCCCCACCCCCCTCTCCTCTAGAACCCTCAGTTTGTTTTTCAGAGTCCATCGTCTCTCATGGTTCGTCTCCCCCTCCGATTTCCCCCCTTCATACTTCCCCTCCTGCTATCTTCTTTTTTTTTTTCTTAACATATATTGCATTATTTGTTTCAGAGGTACAGATCTGTGATTCAACGGTCTTATACAATTCACAGCACTCACCGTAGCACATACCCTCCCCAATGTCTGTCACCCAGCCACCCCATCCCTCCCACCCCCCCCCACTCCAGCAACCCTGTTTGTTTCCTGAGATTAAGAATTCCTCGTATCAGTGAGGTCATTATGAGTTCAGCTTTTTAAGATTCCACATATAAGAGATACCATACAGTATGTCTTTCTTGATTTAACTCACTTAGCATTGTGCTCTCAAGGTCCCATCCATGTTGTCTCAAATGGCAGGATTACCTTCTTTCTCATGGCTAAGTAAATATTCCCCCCCCCTCTCTCTCTCTCACACACACACACACACACACATCTTTATCCATTCTTCCACAGATGGACATTTAGATTGCTTGCAGCCTTCATATGTCCCATTACAAAGCTTAAATCATCATTACTTTCATAAAGTCAAATGGTGTAAAAAAACAAATGATGTTAAGTATCTGTCTTATATTTAGACTGTGGCTTATTTTCACAAATCACATATAAACTTGTTTAAGTTCCCAGAATATGTATCTTTTTTTTTAAAGATTTTATTTATTTACTTGAGAGAGAGAGAACAAGTGAGAGAGAGAACACAAGCGGGGAAGGGCAGAGGGAGAGGGAGAAGCAGACTCCCCACTGAGCAGGGAGCCCGACACGGGACTCGATCCCAGGACCTTGAGATCACGACCTGAGCCAAAGGAAGGTGCTTAACCTACTGAGCCTCCTAGGCGCCCCCCAGAATGTGTACCTTAATGTGGTTGCATTCCATTTTTATCTGTTCTTCTTTCGTATTAACAAGAAGCTCTGTGAAAACAGGGACAAGTTTTTGTTCATCCCTAGCCTTTAGCACTGACTGTGAACGTTTTTAAAATAATTACTATGCTTATTTAATAATTTTTTAATTGCTTGATTTTTAGAGATAGAAGAGACTCTAGCAATTCTATAAGCCATTGGTTTTTTAAATCTGTATTCCAAAGTTCTAGAGTACTGAGGGTCTTGCATTGAAATGAGGTGGATAAGAAGTGAAAAGTTGCACACCAGCTGAACCAGAGGATTTGTGTTACCTGTTTCATGCTTCTCTTACTCCCGGGCACTGTGCCCGGATCAGAGTGTAGGAATATGTCCTTCCTGGACGTGCAGGACTCTCACTCACCCGGGACAGTACTCCTGCTTCCTCTTTGGTCATCAGCACCACTGATCGCATGCTAGCTGAAGAAGAGAAATGTGTCCCTACACCTGCTCTTCCTCTAAAGGCTTCACTAACAGAAGCTTTATCTAAGAAGGTTCACAGATTCAATGAAGTAGACCTCAAATATCAACTTTACATCTCCTGAGGGCAGCATGGTGTCTGCAAAGATGGACTTGGGAGATGAATTACCCTTTCACCTACTAGATGTAGATGCCAGCAAGGTCTACCTTACCCTTTTTGTACTTCGGTAAACTCGTTTAAAAAATGCCCACAAGCCTTCTTCACAGATATTAAAATGCTTGGCATATAGTAGTTACTCATTGTTTGTATTCTTCCAACCTAACTCTGTTTATTATTAAAGATTAATATCTCTGAGACGCCTGACTCATTTTTATTACTTTTCAGGCAGTTTTGTACAACGACAGATCTGTTCTAGAAAATCATCATGCTGCATCAGCTTGGAATCTGTATCTCTCTCGCCCAGAATACAACTTTCTTCTGAATCTTGATCATGTGGAATTCAAGCGCTTTCGTTTTTTGGTCATTGAAGCAATCCTTGCCACAGATCTTAAAAAGCATTTTGATTTCCTTGCTGAATTCAACGCCAAGGTTGGTGATACAACTTACTGTCTGGTTTCAATATGGAAATCACTATTGTCAGTATTACTGATAAGTGTTTTTTATAATGTTAAGTTAGAATTAATACTACTCATAAAGTCATAATATCTGATGTGAGACGATATGTATGTCAATATTTTTTAAAATAACTTTTTTGTCCTAAACATACTATTACTTGCTACCTTTCCTTTCTGGCACATAGACTTACAACTTTCTTTCACATGGTGATAAGCCAGTTCATGATGTCAAAAGCTTTTAGGGGAAGATTGGAGAATGTTGTGCATGGTGCCAAGTAAGTTATTTTATGAAATTAAAGATGTGTTTCTCTGAGCCAGTTATGTGTCCCTCACTGCACCTGTTAATCCCTTCTTCCTATTAGTCTTTAACTGGCTGGTGTGGGAGAGAAGTAGCCTCCACTCTTCCACTTGAGAATAATGTGCTCATTGAGCAAGTCCTGGGATTGCCCTCTCTGTACAGTCACGCCAGCAGGAATAAGTAGAGAACAGGTGGAAATCCCTGCCGCCAGGAATTCACCATCAGTAGGGAACTGAGAATCACTGTCCTCAGGTGACAGGGGTGCTCCCTGGAAGGTGTTCTGTCCCTCCGACATTAGGGGTGGGAAAAGCTGAGAACCACTGCTTTACAGATTCCTGCGGGAAGGATGCTCCTGCTTTGGCTGGCAGGAAGCTGTTGCCTTGATGACATTTGTGACAGAAAGGAGAGGTGTACCTTCGGGCTAGAGGAACTGATACCAAGGGAATACTAGATTTAACCCCCTGTGTGGAGACCCTATATGTGGCTGTTGTGATATCAAATACTTCTATAAATCAGCAAGAAATCCATGTGCCTTTAAAATTATTTTATAGTTGTGTAGCTCTGTTTTATTTAATAATAAAATGCATTTAAGTGCTTAAGTCAGAGTAATAGAAGTTTTCACAGGTAAAAGATCACCTAGTCCAATACTTTTGAATCTGTGTTCCTCAGAGGTTTCTATTCCATAGTCTCAGGAAAATGCCATACCTACATGGTTTCAATCAGAAAAGTTTTTCTTTTAAGTGTTTTCTGTAGTGGTGGTCTACATAAATTTTCCTTTGACAAAAGGGTTTGGTGCCGAAAAACTACCCTCAAAGTTCAGAAGCCACTGATCTGGCCCATTTACTTCATTTTTTACAAGAGAAAATTTGAGTTTTTGAAAGGCAGAGTAATTTGCCTAATTAGTGATGATAATTACATTTACTATGAACAAAGCATTTTTCATTTATTAATCCTCATGGTAATATGGCTAGATTGGTACTACTTTTTCTGTTTTATAGATGAAGACAGATTCAAGGAGATTAAGTAATTTTTCCAGTATTACACAATGAATAAATCATTGAGTCGGGATTTGAAACCATAGGGATCAGCTTTTAAGACTTGTGTTCTTTCAACTATATATTTTCCTTTCACAGCTGAAGCCAACTTCTCTGTGGATCCTAAGTGTTCTTTTTTGCAGAATTAATTACGATTCTTAAATGATTTATTGATGTTTTACATATACATATATATTAACATATATGTTATATATACACACGTTACAATTTTCTGTAGTAATCACAAATATTGAAACCCATGGTTTGTTATGTTTTTATAGTGCTTTGCTTCCAATGAAACAAAATCATAATGACACTTCAAAGGTAAACTTAACCCATATTCCTTCCTGTAATTTAGACAGGAAGCAGTTTTAAGATAATTTGGTTAAAAAGACAAAACTGTGCCCTCAGAACCTAAAATAATTGTTTGTCCAAAATAGGCCAACGATGTAAATAGTAATGGCATAGAATGGAGCAATGAGAATGATCGCCTCTTAGTATGCCAGGTGTGCATCAAGCTGGCAGACATCAATGGACCAGCGAAAGTTCGGGACTTGCATTTGAAATGGACAGAAGGCATTGTCAATGAATTTTATGAGCAGGTAAGTTGAAACTTGAGATGGATGGGATTTTTGAGAGCTGCCATCTGAAGACACAAGTCTTTGGGATTTGGATAGCTATGTTAAATGTTTGATGTCTGGTTACTTTGACCAAAAACGGTTAGAAATTGTACAATTTGTGCTGGTCGTAGTATTTTCTCAGCTTTTTTTTGCTAATAAATTTAAAAAATAGCTCATTCCCAACTGCCATGGGTCGAATGTCCCTTGAGGCTAGAGGTAAGGTCTCTTTTAAAACCCTGAGTGCCTATAACTTTTCCAGATGAAATTTTTAAAATTGATTCAGGGTATACTTGGGTTGATATTCTTTAAATATAATTATTTTCAACTCTGCTGTAGAAAGACTGCTGACTGCCTTAGAAACACCCACTGGGTAAAAGTCCTGGCAGAGGGGAAGACATTTGAGGGCTAGAAACGGGGATAAAGTGGGTATTTCATGGTTTTTTAGGATTCAAAAATAAAAAACATGCTCTTATAAGTTTTTAAAATCATGTCTTTAAACTAATACTCAGGTTTGTATGCCCGCCACGTAGCAAAGCCAGTCACTGAGATGTTGAGTATACATCAAAGAGTTTGAGAGGCAGCCAAACTAGGAAGGGCAGGCCTCAGATTTGCCTCCTCAAAGTGGGAGAGTCGGGAACATGTAAAGGCAAATAAAAGGATGTGGGTATAAGGGAGAGGAGCTGTGGGATTTCAAAATCAAGGAAAGGAAGTTAGGAAGTAGGAAAAGGTTGAAGTCCTTTCATTGTCTGCACCTGCATGGAGCTTCCGCATATATTTTCATGTGACCCATGACCAGAAAATGGCATTCTCAGCATGATAGAAGGGGGGGGAAGGTTAGGCCCTTCTACATTAAAAGTTTATCCATTGGACACTTGTCCGTGCTCAGAGAAGGTCAGTGGTCCTGACTGGTTCTGGCTGGTTTCTTGGTAAAGCCTTAAGTCTCTGCCAAACCACTAAATCAACATTCTATTGTGAGGTCTGGCAAGAACATTATCTATAGAAACATGGTGGCAAGCTGCATTCTAAGAACAAGCAGATTTGGGTAAAAAGTTACAGTTGCTCTTATTAGTCCCATTAACCCTTTGATTACTGGTTTCACTACCACTTTACAGACTGTTTATCATTTTTTTTTTTTTGTTCAATTCTGAAGCTCACTACAATGTAGAAGTATATGGATTTCCCCACAAGCCAGCGTTTCATTAGCTCCAAAATACCGAATACATCTTCTTGACTTTGGAATTGCATTCCTTGGGAATCCTTGTTGACCCTAATAATCAGGCAAGATCAAGAGGTCTACCAAATGAGGCCTTCAAGACAGAGTTTTCTTACCATGAGCTGCTACTCCAGTAGGGGTGATGAATCTGTTATACCTTGTTACACCTGGATTGTATTGAATAGTGAATGTGCAGTGTCTTTCACCCACCTTAGCTAAACATCCCACCACAAGGCTTACTCTGCTATTTACAAGTTACAAAATACTATACGGTGAAAAAACCATGGGAATACATAAGTATTCCAAGATTATTATTTACTCTTCTGATACGTTTGAACTAAATTATATATAACTTGGAGATCTAAATGGTTATAAATATCTACCTAGAGATTGCAATATACTATTTGCATGTTCCCATCTTCATTCTCAAAGATAATTGAAGCCAGCCTCAGACTTCAGTTTGTATTCACAAAAGAATTTTACATTAAGGAAAATGCCATCTTTATATTATCTGCGCAAACAGAGGTAATAAAAAAGTAGTGTATGCCAATTTTAGAAGACTCACTAATTCAGTAAAAGAACATTAGAAAATTGGTAAAACCTAGAAGACATTTGTGATGTTACAAAACAGAAGGTTTTTTTTTTGTTTTTTTTTTTTAAATCTAAGAAGTTGTGAATGTTGTTAATCATTTAGCAGCTGCAATAAATGTAGAGGAAACCCCCCCCAAAAAAAAGAACATTAGAAAAGTTCATTTAGACTCCATTTATAATTTAAGTATATAGAATGCTTATTAAACTTGGAATCCATGCTTAAGGTTGAAGCCTGGGTTCTCTTCTTTACCAGTATTGTGACCTTAGCTAAGTTATTTGACCTCTCTGTGCCTGTTTCTTCATGGATAAAACAGAAATATGTGATGGTATCTACCTCATAAGGTTGCTGCGAGGATTGGGTGAATTAATAAAGTTCTTAGAACAGTTCCTGACACATAAATGCTCAGTAAATGTCAGCTATTATAATTCCAGATCTATCACTAAAAACATTATTTCAGACAAGTTTTACTTAATCTTTCTAAGTTTCATTATTCACATGTTAAAGGAGAAAAAGGTCATCTGACACCCTACCACATAGAGTTGTCATGAAGGTTAAAGGTACTAATCTATATGAAAGTCCTACTCAATCCTCATCAACGCTATTAAATTTCTTTCTCAATCTGGTTATACTATTAAGCATCCTTCGGATGTGGATGCAAAATTCTAATCTTGCCCAACTTTTTATTTTTTTATTATCTTAATTATCCTATCCTTATATCCCTATAGCCATTTAAGTACCATGGGCTTAGAAAAGCCAAACTCCTATTAAAAAAAAAAAAAAGCCAAACAAAATTGTAGAATCCTGTGGATAAACCCAACTGAGGTTTGTTTGTTTTGGGGGGGAGGGTTTTGGGTAAACAATGGTTTTCTTCCCCACAGAAGGTAAAATCCTAGATTTTTTAATCATGGGCCAGTCACTAGAACAGTTTCTGGTGGTTTCCCTAGGACAGTGTTGCCTCATCAGAGAGAGACGCTGCTTGCCTACACAGTTTATACATTCTGAAGTTCATTCATTCCCCACCAGTTCAGACAGTAGGAACAAAAAGGTCAACAGTACCTTTTGGGGAATGCTCAGTACTGTGCTAAATACTTAATATTGTTTTTCATCCTCATGGCAACTTTGTAAAGTACATTATTAAGATTTTACACATGAAATGGGCATGGAGCTTGCTCAGCACCGCACAGGTAGTAGGTGGCAAAAGCAGGCTTTGAAAACTGCATCTGTCTGATCTCACATTACGCTCTCTGAAGCCCTGGAGACCACAGGGGGAGGGTGTCAGAGGGCAGGCAGTTGGACCCCGACTCCTCACCTCAGCCACCCATACTTCTGCTTCTGCTGTTAGAAACAGATAGGGTGTTGAAAGGCAATTGCAAAATTCAACTCTGGGCATTTAAGGTACAACAACTTGGCTGATACCATCTCCCCCTAGGAGAAAGACATACAATTTTTCAGGTTGTTAGATTTGTTGATTTTTTTTTTCATGTATGTTTTTCTTGTTCACTGAACATCAACCATCCTGGTTAACTGGTGGGGTGTGAAAATAAAGTCTTGGAGAAATTCGTACAGTTGAAATGACAGTAATTAGACACTTTGTAAAAATTATTTTGATGTAGACTATGCATATTAAAAAACACTCAAGATAATTTTAACAGCAAAGCTCAGTGGTTATTCTTTCAACAGTTCAAAATGTACTTTTCTTTTTAAAATGATCAGGGAGATGAGGAAGCAAACCTCGGTTTGCCCATCAGTCCCTTCATGGATCGTTCTTCGCCTCAGCTAGCAAAACTCCAAGAATCTTTCATCACCCACATCGTGGGTCCTCTGTGTAATTCCTACGACACGGCTGGCTTGCTGCCGGGTCAGTGGGTGGAAGCAGAAGAGGACGAAGACACTGAGAGTTGTTACGATGAAGATGATGGTGAAGAACTAGATACAGATGAGGAAGAAATAGAAGACAATCTAAATCCTAGTAAGAATATAGGGATGCTGTAATTTCTTAAATGGATATTTGCAGTTAGTAACATTGTTTGGATCTTTGTTTTGGGGGTGGTTTTTTTTGGGGGGGGAGAGAATCCCAAGCGGGGCTCGATCTCACAGCCCCGAGATTGTGATCTGAGCTGAAATCAAGAGTCAGACGCCTAACTGACTGAGCCACCCAGGCGCCCCTGGATCTTTGTTTTTAAGCTACAGATTGAGGAGTTCTATCTTGAGTAACTATTCTCTGAATGTTCAGATTGAACGGTCTCTTGAGTAACTCCTGTGTGCTGGGGAACATGCTAATGCGGTCGCACGCGGTCTTGGTTAAAGTGGTGTCTCTTTGGGGCCAGTCCGCTTCAGGAGGCTCTACCTTTGCACGCACCGTAGGGCTGTGTCACCATGGCTGATTTTGTGAGGTGAGGTGTTCGTGTGGCTAGCGCTCCCCCCTCCTGCTAATCTGCCCTTCCTAAAGACTTGGAAGATGGATCACAATAGTTGGGAGAAGAGGAAACATCATCTCTAGCCCTAAGGGGAGAACCAAGTTTTGTGTTGTTACGGATTTGAATTGCCAAACTGTTGGGACATAGTTTTCTATATAAAGCAGTGAATATAAATGGAAAAAAACATTTGTCACCATTGTAGCTGTAAATGAAATCAGTTATTTGCTCTTTAAAGTAGAATTTAAGGGGTGCCTGGGTGGCTCAGTCAGTTAAGCATCTGCCTTCAGCTCAGGTCATGATCTCAGGGTCCTGGGATCGAGTCCCACATGGGGCTCCTTGCTCAGTGGGGAGCCTGCTTCTCCCCTGCTTGGGCTCTCTCCTGTTCTCTCTCAAGTAAATAAATAAAATCTTAAAAAAATAAAGAATTGAAATTATATCTAGCATTCCAAGCATGCTATAAATGAAAACCGGTAACATAATTACAAAGAACTACCCCCACCTCCCCAGTTGTATTCAGGATTAGCATAATAAAGAGTAGTCTTCTACCTCTACCCTCTGAGCATCATCATGGACAAAGTTGACTGGCTTCCAAAAATTATTTATATTCACTGAAACCTTGATACTGGTGTTTAATTCAGTACTTAAATCCTAAAAAGGTTGTTGAACTTCACATTGCTATTGTTATCATTCCTCCCCTCTCACCCCACCCAGTCTTACCTAATCCCCTTCTCGGCTTTATTTTCATCTAATAACAACACCATCTTGTGTTTTGCTGCTTCTTTTGCTTACCTAGGTCTTTCCATTAGAAGATGAGCTCCATAGTGCAGAGATTATTTCTGTCTTACTGGTTATGACTACAACCCCAGCGCCATATATAAGTGCCTGGAAAATTATAGGCACTCGGATATTTAGTGACTGCACAAGGGAATTGTATGGCTATGATTACAATATACTGCTTTTAAATTTCACAGAACCACAGAGGAGGAAAGGCAGACGGCGAATATTTTGTCAGCTAATGCACCACCTCACTGAAAACCACAAGATATGGAAGGAAATGATAGAGGAAGAAGAGAAATGTAAAGCTGATGGGAATAAACTGCAGGTGGAAAGTCCTTCCTTACCTCAAGCCGATGACATTCAGGTCATTGAAGAAGCAGACGAAGAGGAGGAGAGACAGTTTGAATAAAAGAAAAGGCATATCAGAGAAGCCTGGAGGGCTGTGCCCGGGGTCAGAAATCCCTGCCTGGCACTCAGGGGACAGACCTGCCACAGACCCTGCCTGCGGGGACAGGCCCAGCTATTGGGAGAGGCCTCCGCTGCTGTGTGTGCTCACCACACAGACGACACGAGCATCCTTAGAGCATGGCTTCCGTCGACTCCTGTTGCGAAGCTCTTCCTTGAAGCCTTTGCTGGTATACCAGTAGTCTGTCATAGTAATGCTTTGCTGGGTAGTAAGCTCTTTGTTTTCATGAGCGGTAGCTAGAACTAAAAATTCAAGTGACTTCAGTTTCCAAAGTGGCCAGAACTTTTTGCTTTCATGAAAACAGGATTCATATTGTTTTTTTCCGAATGTGTCTTTTAGGTGTTTTGAACATTTTGGCGGGAGCCGGGGTGGGGTGGGGGGAGTCAGTGCCCGTCTAAAAAGGAATCCAGTGTTGCCTTTCGGAGGGTCTGTTCAGTGCAAGACACTGTTCAGTGCTGTGCTCCCAGCCGGGTTTATCCATGAAAGACTGAGTGACCTTTGTTAAATATAATAGAATCCAGGTGCATCAATTTCTGATGCTTCTTACTGTTGTGTGTTACGTACTATGTGTATTTGAGTTCTGCTCAGAGTATTCAGGTTTACTGTGGACATCAGAAGTCTGAATTCCAGTCTTACTGACTTACATTCCATGGTTGAACTTTTAAAGCTGTTTCGGGTGTAACAACGAAGGGATTTTCTTCTTTAGTCAAAACTGTTCTTACTACTGTTGCTCAGGATTCGTATTTTTAAACATTTAGTTAATATAAACACAGATTTGTCAGAAGAAAAAGGAATTGTCCTAAAGATGTTAACCTTTTATGAAATGAGCATTAATCTTTCTTAGATAAATTTGAGTCTAATCAAAAGAAATAGGTGCTCCGAAAGCCACAACGAATAATTGGAACATATGCTTATATCCAGATCCATATGTTAGGTGTCGTGTGTTTAGTCACTGTAAAACTGATGTTCATCCTTGTTCATTTCCTACTGCCTTGAGACTACATGACAGAAGTGACCTAGGACTACTCAGTACTGCTAGAGCCCAACTGTGAGTCTAATCTTTAAAAAAAAAAAAAAAGTGGGAGTACTTAATTGCAATGAAAATGGACCATATTTACAATGTTCATGAACTCCTAGGGTACAGATATGTACCTGAGTCATGAAAGATTTTTGATGATCTAAAGAGCAGTCTAAATGATAACAGGATGGGAGACTAATTTTTTTTTTTCTTGGAGACTCTATTTTGGTTCTGTGTGGCTTTTGTAGACAGTAAAACCATTAATTTTCCAAGATGATTCCTTTTAAGTATAATGTCAGGCAATTTCTTACCTACCTAGAATATTTGGCATATCTCGAAGATATTAAAGATCTATAGAAATGTTGGAAGTTTTGATCTTGTATAATATTGAATGAATCACCAAGCTTTATTTATTAGACATGTTGAGTGCAAAGTTCCTTCCAGCCACTTTTGCTACAACTGCCACATAATTTGTAACCTGGTCACACATTACTAAGTAATAAAATTTTAACTAATTTATTGAGTTTGCACTTAAAATATATATATCCTGGGCTCTTGTTTCCCTGGTATACATTTTGCATCCTGCGCAAGTATATTTCTGCTATTGCAAAGTACAAGTGTATAAATTCACATGTGCACATATGCATAATGAGACTCAGATTTCCTATTAAAATTTTGTATTGGGGTTAATGTATATATTTTCTCAAAAGGAATGTTTTTATTAAAAGTACTGTTACCGAGAACTCATTTTTAAATAATTTAAATTTGCTCTTTGCTAAATAATTGACATATTAAAATAGACCAAAGAAACACTAAGAAATATCCTTGCTGAAACAAATTCATAAACTTTAAGAAATGAATGTGACTATATTAAGGTATATACAGTGCTATTAAATGAAATCTTACTTGAAAAATTGCCATAAGGGACGCCTGGGTGGCTCAGTCGGCTAAGCATCTGCCTTCGGCTCAGGTCATAATCCCAGAGTCCTGGGATCGAGTCCCGCATCGGGCTCCCTGCTCTCGGGGAGCCTGCTTCTCCCTCCGCCTGCCGCTCCCCGCTCTCATGCTCTCTCTCTGAAAAATAAAATCTTTAAAAAAAAAAAAAAAGGAATTGACATAAGCAATATTACATATTCTATTTTGGTTACTACTGAATCAGATTAATTTTATTATAATTTTCATTGTGAATTTGCTGTTGTTTTAACTCACTGGTCTTAGAAATAATTTTGTAGTGCTGTATCTGTGTGCTTACCCATACATTATTTTTCCATATAAAAACAAACTACTTTGTAAAGTTATTTCCTGATTTGAAGGCTATTTCCTGCTATTCTTTGTTGATGCTGTTGGCCTTTTCTATTTTTATAAGAATCCTGTAAACTCTAGCATTGAAGTCAAAAATTTCCTCTCTCTAGATTGCATCTCATAGGAATGAACTTCACAAAAGAGATGAATAAAGCCAACTCTGGTTTCTTTCTTATAGTTGCCAGGCTAATCTGAGGAGCTCTAGAGAGTGGGTGGGGATGGCGCAAGAATTATGATTTACCCTGGAGGTAATTGCTTGTGGAAAGAGATTAACAGTGTGTGTGGAGGGCGCCTGGGTGGCTCAGATGGTTAAGCGTCTGCCTTCAGCTCAGGTCATGATTCCAGGTCCTGGGATTGAGTCCCACATCGGGCTCCCTGCTCCTTGGGAGCCTGCTTCGCCCTCTGTCTCTCACGAATAAATAAATAAAATCTTTTAAAAGAATAAAAAATAAATAAATAAAAAAGTGTGTGTGGAGGCCCAGACAAGAACACATCCCCACCTTGGAGGAGCTGAAAGAGGTTGAGGGTGGCTGGCAGGGAGTGGTAGATAGAGGGTGGCTAATGAAGAGCCTGGTAAAGCATGAATGACATGCTATTTAAGCTTTTTTCCTCAAGGAAATGGGGAACTGAAAAAGTTTTCATCTGGAAGAGTGACCTGATTACATTTACATTTTATGAAGCTCGTTCAAATAACATACTATGTCAAATGGAAGAATAAAATTAGACATGGGGAGATCTCCCTGATCTGGACATGGAAAGATTATAGGACAACAGAGAAGTGAGTAGACTGGAGATCTGAGATGGAGGAGAATCAGTTTGCCCCGGTGATTACTGGGTATGGTGGTAAGAAGACCGTTGGGACTTTCAGGATTTCTGCTTTGGGCAACTATGCGCGTCATTCACTGCGAGAGGGTATACCCAAGGAGTAGACTGTGGACGTGCTGGAGGGACAGGGGGATGTGTGTATCCTATTGGTTCTCTTTCTCTGGAGAACTTTGCTAAAAGTCACCAAACAGAAGGAAACAACCCTAAAGGAGACTAGCAGATTTAGACTACCCAATGCCTGCAGATGCTGCATTGCCTTATCAAAACAATATAAAATAACCATGCAGGAAATGTTTAAGGAAATAAGATACAAAATGACAAAAAAAATGAGCAAGCAGTTAGAAATTTAAAACTCACCAGGTACGAGGGCGCCTGGCTGGCTCAGTTGGTGGAACATGTGCCTTCATCCCAGGGTTGTGAGTTCAAGCCCCAGGTTGGGCATGGAACTTAAAGGAAAAAAGGAAGGAAGGAGGGAAGGAAGGAAGGAAAGATTCACCAGGTACAAGTAGCCATAAGACTGATGACAAACTTCTCAGGACCAAAAAGGGGAGCCAGAAGTCACTACAACACTATCTGCTAAGTGCTGAGAGGAAAAAATAAATGAATAAAAAAGAAAATAAAAATCTGTCAACTTATAATCACCAGAACTACCAAAAGTGAGGGTAAAATAAAGAGACATTTTCAGATAAACACTGATCTTTTCCCATCAACAGACTTAACCTAATGAAATTTTTAGAGCAGTACTTCTAAAGTTTGCTGTAATGTACATACAAATCATTTTGTGATCTGGTTAAAATGCATATTCTGATCTAGTAAGTCTGTAGTGGACCTCAGGAGTCTGTATTTCTTAAAAGTAGGTCCCTGAGAGTGTAGTTCTTTAAAAAGTTCTCAGGTGGGGGCGCCTGGGTGGCTCAGTCGTTAAGCAACTGCCTTCGGCTCAGGTCATGATCACAGGGTCCTGGGATCGAGCCCCGCATGGGGCTCCCTGCTCCGCGGGAAGCCTGCTTCTCCCTCTCCCACTCTCCCTGCTTGTGTGTGTGCTCTCTCTCTATCTGACAAATAAATAAAATCTTTAAAAAAAAAGTTCTCAAGTGATGTAATGATGCTACTGGTCTGTTGACCACACTTAAAAGAGTAGCAAGATTCTTAAAGTGCATACTTTAGAAAAGAAGAAAAATGACCCAGAGGGAAGATAGGCGATGCAAGAAGGAAAAGTAAACAGATTAATAAACAACATATTTAGGTAAGTCTTAAATCATTATTTATATGAACTAAAAAATTATTTTGTGTGCCTTAAAATCCTGGATAACAACATGTTAATCAAGAAAAAGTTAAAGGTCTTATATGGTTTCAAAATGGAAATTAAGATACTAACTTTAGACTTTGTTAAATTAGGAAAAATGCAAAAGTTAAGGGAAACTAAAGTTTTAAAAAGTATATAACTTCTAAACTGGTCATGGTAGGGGAGTAAAAAACCTGGAATTGATAAAAATGTCATAAATGAGTAAAGAGAAACAATAGGACAAATGGGAGAAAAGGTAGGAATAAATTTTAAAATATCAATACCCACAAGAAATGTAAATAGTATTTTGGATGGGCACATCTAATCTGTCAGGATTTTTTTTAAGCCAGCATGTAGGTAGTACTTACAATGTACTGTTTTCTTAGTGATTTGATGTTAATTTATATTATCACCACCATGTTAAGGTAGATAACTGTATTATTACCTCTGTTTTGCAAAGTCAATTTATCAGGTACATAAAATACATGTACTTACCTAATAAAATAATCTCAAAGATGCATAAATCAAAAGTTGGTAGAACTACAGAGAAAAATTGTCATTTCTACAACCTGGATGAGAGATTTAACACAAGTTAAGCAGACCAAAAGTTAATAAAAATATAAAACAGCACAGTGAACAGTCTCATTAGACATACACAGAACATAAAACCCAGCAAAGAAAATTTTTGTCCTTAAAAATCCAAAGAACACTTAGAAAGTTGACTACATACTTGTGTATAAAGCAAGTCCTAATAAGTTTCAGAGAATATGTATCATACAAACCATGTTCTCTGACCACAAGACCATTAGTCTTCAGTTAGTTTTTGTTACTTATTTCTATGTATGCTTGATAGATT